TCTATATTTAACGATATGTTTTTGCCTACTACATAAATATTTTCTTTTATTCTTGGTCAAATTTATTGTTTAATGACTGAATCATTTGGTCTATAAGCAGATCAAATACAAAGAGTTTCACTTCTTTTGTATCGTTAACTGTAAATGCATTTCCAGCATTATTATCTAATCTAGTAGAAACTTTACGTTTTCTCGGAGTAGGAATGATAATTTAAAACAATTGTTAACATTGTTAATGAACGTGCTCATATATATTTACATTTTAACAAGCATATACATTATCAAAAATGTTTATTTGAATGTCAAGTTTTAAGTTCATCAAGAACTTTTAAGTTCTTTATTCCTGATGAAGCTGTTAAATAAATGGCGAAATATTGAGTTTTAGAAAAAACAAAGATTTTTATTTAATATAGACCACATACCCGATATTTCCAACATACTGATAAATTGTTTTTTGGTCGAAATAATCACGTTAAATATAAGTGGCCCAAAAGTCTGGACCCGGCTAATTATCTCGTAAAATGCTAATCATAATTGTACAAAATTTGAGGTACACCTATTTTGGGATACGGAGATTCCACATTTGATATTTACAATGTTGCCAGATTTGCTATTTTTCTTATATTGTTAGTAACTTTGGTTTTTCAAATACATCACCCTATATATTCAGTCATTATTGGAATCTCCTATTCAATACGAGTTCAACCATATATAACACTTATGATTTTATGTAATCTGGAAGGTCATAAATACATAAAACCGAAGTCTGGCAACGCCTAAATTGTTTCAATAAATTTTTTAATACTAACTATTTTCAAATACATTAAAACGTAACAATTGATGCTTTAGAACATTTTTTAACATAGTAGTTGCGTTATTAAGTGTTCAAAATGTGCTCAATTTGTGAGTTGACAGCACCCCAATCGATTGTAGAAGGCGTCTACCACATTTCTCCATGATTGTCTAGAAATTATTCGAGATTCATTGATAATTCGTTGCCTTAGCTCTGCAAGACTTGCTGGTTAAGTTTTGTAAACTGAATTTTTCAAGTATCCCTAATAAAAATAATCTTTAGGATTGAAATCGGGTGAACGTGGAGACCATTCAATTCTACCTTGTCCAGGAAATATCTCATCTAAATATCGCCGAACATTTACACCAACTATCTGACGTTAAATTTCTTTCGACAAAAAATGACCCAATTAAATAAGTAACTACTATCTGACCATACATTTAATTTTTGTGGTCTTTGAGTATGGTTTTCACGCATTCAGTCTTCAGTGTGAATTTACATCATACCAGTACCTTAAATTGTGTCGATTTACACTTCCACACAGTGTAAAAGTTGCTTCATCGGAAAAACATATTCTGTTAACGAAATAATTTTCAATTTTATCCATCATTACCTCAGTAAACTCTAATCTACGACCAAAGTCATCTTCACTTAATTCTTGCAATAAGTTAATTTTGTATGATTTAAATTTATTTTTACGTAATAAACGTAACACTGAAGAATGACCTATATCATGTACTTGTGCAACCCTGCCTGGGGATGTATGTGGATCTTCAACAAAACTTTGCTTATATCTAAGAGTCATTGATAACTCGTTTCGGTCAACCTGATCGGTATCTATCTTTTACTTCTCCAGATTTCTCAAATCGCCTTACAGTTTTTTGTACCGTCGTCTTATGAATAGGAGAACGGTTTAGAGAACGGCATTTTAGAGAAGCAATTTAAATTGCAGAACTTTTTGAACCACAACTACTGTCAATTTTAGTTCATAATTTAAATGGTGAACAAATGTCAAAATCACAGCATTCTCCATTTAAATATTTAAATTTATTAAAATCTACATATTTTGCACTGTTTTATGTATTTAAGATCTTTCAGACTACATAAAATCAAGTGAACATATGGTTGAACTCGTATTGAATAGCTGAACTCGTGTGAAATTCACACTGAATGCGTGAGAACCATACTCAAAGACCACAAAAATTAAATGTATGGTCAGTTATAGTAGGTACTTATTTAATTGGGCCATTTTTTATCGAAAGAAATTTAACGTCAGATAGTTGGTGTAAATGTTCGGCGTTATTTAGATGATATATTACCCGGACGATAAATTGGTAGACAAGGTAGAATTGAATGACCTCCACGTTCACCCGATCTCAATCCTAAAGATTATTTTTATTAGAGATACTTGAAAAATTCAGTTTACAAAACTTAACCAGCAAGTCTTGCATAGCTAAGGCAATGAATTATCGATGAATCTCGAATAATTTCTAGACAATCATGGAGAAATGTGGTAGACGCATTCTACCGTCTATTAGAGTGCTGTCAACTCACAAATGGAGCACATTTTGAACACTTAATAACGTAACTATTATGTTAAAAAATATTCTAAACTATCAATTGTTACGTTTTAATGTATTTGAAAATAGTTAGTATTAAAAAATGTATTGAAACAATTTAGACTTCTGTTTTATGTATTTAAGACCTTCCAGACTACATAAAATCATAAGTGTTACATATGGTTGAACTCGTATTTAATAGGAGATTCCAATAATGACAAAATATACAAGGTGATGCATTTAAAAAACCAAAGTTACTAGTAATATAAGAGAAACTGAAAATCTGGCAACATTGCAAATACCAAATATGGAATCTCCGTATCCCAAAATAGGCGTATCTCAAATTTTGTATAATTATGTCTAGTAATTTACGAGATAATTAGCCGTTTCCAGACTTTTGGGCCACTCTGTATATATATATATATATATATATATATATATATATATACATATTCGTGTTTTAACAGATTGAAGGCAACATCTACAGGTGTTGAAAACATACAATGTATAATATTAGGTAAAGCCAGCTCAGATTTTAAGGGATAGTAAGCAAAGAGTTTAGTGTTATGCTTTAGAAACTAGTGTTTCTACAAGCCGATAGTTATGGTGACACAGTGTATTAGTTTATACAGCTATCAATAGAAATTTAAAAGAAATCAGTGTGGTCTTCACAGCCATGCAGTAAAAATAAATTAATGAGCTACTAAAATTTGATGTCATATTAAGGGATGTGTATATGAACATTTCCTTTAAAACTTTAAAGTTACGTTAACGTCCACAGATCATAGGTGAGGTAGGTGTGTCTAAGCAATTTTCCTAGGTATGTCTTTCCTAAATTTGTAGAAAAATATGCGTAAGGCTAGTACGAAGCTAAGAAATCAAAATATAAAACAGTCAAACAGGTAAAAAAGAAAATTTAGGATAAGATCAATTAAATGTTTATACCCGTTTCCGGAAAAATTATTATAATAAATGATGCCCTCGTTGGTTTCATTTTTATTCGCTCCGGGGGAAAATATAGTTGTCGATTACTACTTTATATGCTTTAAAAAAAGTTTTGCTATATATGGTTTGTTGAATAGCATTGCTCTAGCTATCGACTATCCTGGCACCTACAAAAATTTCAATTTCTAATTTAACTGAGCTGCCACCATGCTTCGGAGGGCACGTAAAGCCGTCGGTCCCAGCTACGAAAGTAGTCGTTAAGTCATGTTAGGGGCGCTTGCGCGCCCTGAAAACCCTAACGCTAGACCTTAGCCAGAAGGTTACATGACCTTTTTTGCTAGCTATCGAGGTATTTTCAGGTCGTTAAAACTACGACGACAGCGAGTGGTGAGGAGGGACCCATCATCATACAGACAGAAGTGGAGTCAGCTATCGAAAGATTGAAGAACAACAAAACTTACCGACCAAAAAGGATACAGGGATAAATTCTTAAACTACTTAACACAGATCAAATTAAACTTTTGAACGTCCTTTTCAATAAAATTTACATAAGCGGACAAATACCAAATGATATAAGGTTGAATGCTCGAATAAATGAATCGAGCACAATTTTAACAATTAAATCTTGCCCAAGTACTTTCGCTTACTACAGCATTTTTGACGAAATGCCCCTGAAGATGCTGTAGTAAGCGAAAGTACTTGGGCAAGATTTAATTGTTAAAATTGTGCTTGATATTTGCCTTTCATTTTTCAAAATACCAAATGATTGGCTGCTGTCAACATTCGCCCCAATTTCCAAAACGACGAATGTAAATAAACGCTACCATTACAGAATAATTGGGATATTTGTTCTTTGGAGACAAACTAGTGAAAAAAATTGAACGAAAACCGATAAATATTAATTACAATCAAAGTAAATGAAATTATTATGTTCTTATAACAGATTTTTTAAATATACCTTAAGACTAAAATCGTAGAAGAAACAACCTCAAATAAGTTTTTACAATTAGTGGATAATACTGTTACGAGCACGTAGCGTGTCTCCGTATAGCGGCTGCATCTCGAAAGCGACTCGATGCTTCCAGAAACATCTGTCACGTACGCCTAGAGGTGGGAACTTTCTAGAAAATAGTAACTTTGGTATATATATGTAACGATCTTAGGAGTTAGTTTAGTTGATAAGAGAATACCGAACTGTAAAGTTATAAATAAATATATTTATATAAATTCGAACCGCTCGTTTTAGTTAAAAACGGTACAATACTTTTAGCAGCACCGGTTGAAGTTGTCTCATATTCGAAAGCACGACGAGACACAATTTACCTGAAAAATGTGTAAAATGTTTATATATTTTTCCGCTTGGCAACAGCTCGTTTTGAAACAACCCGTTGAATATTTTTGATATTATGTCGGTAACATTTATTTATGTCTTCATCGAATTTATAACAGCAATTGTTATGATATTACTTTATTGAGTTGCAAGACCAATTTTATATGTTATTAGTTTAATTGGAAAAGTTCATTATACTCCACGGATAGAAGATGTCATAAATTTTGTAGTCCATTAAAAAAGGAAAATAAAAAGCTTAGCGAAACTCAAAATATCACTGCCTACACCTTTAACCAAAACATCTCAACACACACATGCATGCAATCTTAAATTCTACAAACTGTTGCAACACTACACAAGATCAAGTTCAAACCTGTAAGTATTCATCAAGTTCGACTTGTCCGTTCATGTTTGTATCAATTTCTTTAAGAATATCGTGCAGTTCTTCGCCGGATACCTCTTTCTCGCCAGTTTGCTGTAACAATATAATAGTTATGTAAAATGTCTTTGGAAAAACTTACGTGTAAATAGTCTGCCATATCCAGTTGACCGTTAAACATAAGATTGATCTCAGATAAAAGAACGTGGATCTCGTCATCTGTCAGTTTCATTCCTAAAGACTGCAAAAGTGTGAGGATATATGTAATATCAATTTTTATTTTTAACTTTAGTGTGACGTCACGCTGCCAGTTCGTTTTTGAGGTTAGGTTAAGGTCTTGATTATAAAAACACCGAGTTGCTTATGTAATCAATTTCTAGGACAATTCACTTTAAACCTTTCCAGAAGTGAATAATCAATCAATCAATTTTGTAATCCAAAACAAAATCACGAAATAGATTAAAATAAACTGGTATGGAAATTTAGCTAATTAATAATCAAGATATGGACATAACCCCAAAAAATAATGGCGTGACGTCAAAATAAATGCAGCATTCTGTTTATTAGTATATGACGGGTGACGGATAAAAACGATCAGAGTCAAATTTGGTTGTGGAAAATAAAACAACATTTTACTAATTAGATAAACGTTTGAAATCTCCAAAAATTTTAAATAAGGAGCTGGACTCCGACCTATTTTACGCATTAAATGTCGATTTGTGGATCGTTCTCAAATTCCACATCCCTATCTTTATTTATACTGGTATGAGACATTGTCCGTGGTAAAAGAAATGCGCTTCGGGGTTTGTCAGGAATTAAGTTAGGTGTAATCAATTATGCAACTTAACAGCCTTAACCCATTAATGCCCAAATTGCCCAACGTATTTTATGTAATACGCGAGACACTGCCATATATATTTCGTCATCTAAGTACTTGTCAGAAAAAAAGTCATCGAGCAATAAGACAAAAGAGGGAATCTAATCCTTATGAAAAGGAGACCAAAAAAGTGGCCTCTGATGGCGGACATGTCCGGAAATGCGAATGCGCGAAATTTAAATTTTCCGACACTTATCAACAGTAGCTATATAATATTTTTCAGAATGTGTCTTAGACGAGAAAGTTTTAATTAATTATTAATGATAAGAGTCTAAAATGCGACACAATTAATAAAAAACTTCAATATAAATAAGATTTCATGTGACATTTGGGACAAACAATAACATAACCCAACTAAATTTGATGTCAAACAAGGATAAAGACTCACTTTCCTTGTTTAATGTGGCCTCTAAAGATCGCACTTCCTGTCTAACAATATGTTTGTCCCCACTACCTTTACATTCCCTCTATTGTCTTTTTGCTCGATGAAAAAAGTAAACATTAGCTGTTTCCCCTTAGACAAGGAAAGAGAGAAGACGCGTAACAGTATCGCTAAAAGTGAAGCCAAACTGCCACCAGAGGAAGTGGTCAGCGGCGTATCATTGTATTTTTAAGGATTGACTAATTCTTATTTAAAATGAAATATTTTTGTACAATAAATGTTTTATTTAACTTATTTTATTTTATATAAATATTTTGGAATCAAAATTAACGAAATTTATTTATTTACTTATTTAAGGAATTTTAATCCTCAACGCACATCGCCACTGGCAAATCATCATGGTGTGTGAGTAAAATTATTAATTATAATACAATTAGGTACTGAAATAATTATGCATATTTAGCATTCTTATTTACTAATTTAGATCTTACCTTTCGTTAAAATACTAATTTAAATTGGTTTTGAGGTTTAAAATTGAAATAAAAAGTAAAAAATACCTAATTGCACTATTATAAATATTTACCTATGAAACGATATTCCTGGTGTTTTCTACTCGCTGCGATTTTTACAAAGAATATATGCACAATTCACCATTTTATTAATTAAAAAAAATAGGTGTTTAATTCACTTTTTTTAAAAAACCAAAAAAAAAACAAAACTGGTGTCAGATCTATTGTTTTCCACCAAAAAATGGCGGACACATCGAGAAGTGGCTTCACTTTTTGAGGGTTGGTTGAACGAGCGTTACCCGTCCTCTCTCTTTCCTTGTCAGGTTTTCCCAATATAGATTAGAGTGCAGAGGTTAGAAGGTAATTGTTTATCATAACATTAGACATTTATATTAATGATGATAAAATACCTACAAGAGTTGGGATTGGAGACCAAGGATATAAGAATTATCGCCAATCTGCATTGGAACCAGACAGCAACAGCACGTCTTCAAAATTTCAACGAAACTTCGCTTCACTTCAAAGAAAAAGCCTTCGCAGAAGCAGTGGCAGACTCTAATAAGGGTATTAAAGTCAACGACATATTTATTAATAACATCAGGTATGCCGATGATACAACCATAGTGGCAGATAACATCAAAGATCTTCAATGCCTTTTAAATGATCTAACTCTTGCAAGTGAAGCTCGGGGTTTGAAAATAAATATCAAGGAGACAGAAGCAATGATTATAAGTAGAAATGATTACCCCAACGCAAAGATATATGTCTCTGGAGAAGAAATCGAACAGGTCAGGCAATTTAAATAGTTGGGTTGTTTGCTGAACGAGGGTTGGGACTCCGAGAATGAAATAAAGAGCAGAGTTTAACAAGCAGAAATGCGTTTTTGAGGCTTCTTAAGTTTCTGACTGATCGCAAATTGGACTTTAACCTCCGATACAAGATGCTTAAGTGTTACGTGTGCCCTGTTCTCTTGTACGGAACGGAAGCATGGACGTTAAAGGCCAGTTCCATTAACAAACTTGAAGTTTTTGAAATGTAGTGCCTGCGTTGAATGCTTAGAATATCATGGACGTACTCAGAAGAAATAAGGAAGTACTCAGAAGAGCGGGCTTACAGCAACTGATACTCGAAGGATAGATAGAGGGTAGGAGAGGTCTGGGACGTAAAAAAATGTCATGGCTGCGCAATATTCGACAATGGACAGGAATCCACAGCTACGAAATGCTTCGCAATGCTGCTGAAAACAGAATTAAAGGGTAATAAGTTTTGTGCTAAAGTTTTCTTAGGTTATATTATAGTTCACCGGTTGCATTTTAGGAGAGTTTGGAGGACTTTTTCGACTTTCAAAAATCTTTTGTAGTGTTTAACTAAATAGTAATTCTTCTAAATATTAAATAGTGATATAAATAATATTAAAATATATACTGGTGAGTGTTTTGAAGGTATTTGATTCTTGCGTCTAATGTATAATACACTGGGCAATCGTAGTAACTAATCAATATTCTTTCTCTTTTAGAAAAAATGACGAAAAAATATGATCCTAATAATTCCAAAAATGAAGAGGAATTGTTACAAATATATGAGAGGTTAGAAGATGACAATACTTTGGCTCAGGAAATTGACCAATGTAACGACGTTCAACTCATGTTGCAATTATTGCAAGACCAGTTAAATTACATTTTTCAAAGTAAATCCGTAAACTAATTTTTAAAACCAAATTCAGATTTTTGCTTCAATCTGTACCTTCCAAGAATTGCAAGGCAAAACAGACGTTGATAAAGATGTTATTAGAGACAGGGGGAATCTAAAATTTGCATTCCAGAACATATCTTCTCAACTAAGCAAAAATCCTTAGCGAATTGGAAAAAGGAAAAGACAATTAAGATTTGATTTCAGGTATAGCGCGTCTTGTATCCGCTTATACGTATTTCGCCCTAATAGGGCTCTTCAGAACGGCAATTTACAGTCGTTCTAAACGTGAAAATAAATCTCTTCTGTCTTAGGAAGCAACTCTAACATGGCTTGGAATGGACGCAAATAGCGACATCTGATATTAAATCCGTAAACTAATTTGCAGCAATTGAGAAAACAGTGCTGTCAAATGCAACTGTGACTGAAACTCACAAATAAGCTAACAGAAGAAAATGGGAAGTTGTAGAAATTTTACAAGATTTTGAAACCAGAAAAAAATCTATGAAAAGAATTGATCGTATGTGGGAAGAAAAAAACTGGAAAAAAGAGTCATAGATGATATTTTCAAAAACAATATGGAACCCCATATACTAAATGAATGAAAAGAACAAAATTTGAAGCCAATCGATGCGTTTAAATTATTTTTTAATGGAAAATGAAAAATTCATGGACCTTTGAAAGGATCTTTGTAAAGAAACGGTAAAGTACGCTTTACAAAAACCTTGCTCTTTCACTTGGTCCGTTGATGATTTATATAAATACTTTGTCATCCTTATTCTCTCTGGATACCACCCATTACCTTCTAGGAGAATATATTGGAAAGGTCTAAGGGGACTCTCACCCACATCTAGTTAGTAACACTATGAGTTGAACAGATTTAAAAAAATTCATAGATTTTTATACGTTGACGATAATTCGTTCACAAGTTCAACCACTAATTGACCATCTAAATGAACGTTTTTATCATTACCTGCAGCCAGTGAACGAAGCCATGGAACAGTATTATAGAGATCATTCAATGTAGCAGTTCATTCTAGGAAAATATCCGTTACGGATATAACTTCTGGTGCGTTGCGACCAATAAAGGTTACCTTGTAAAATTTCATCCCTATACTGGAAGTGGAGATAAATTACAGGGTACTTTTTAAACTTTTAGGAAGTTCCGTAACCTCAAAGAAATAAAAAAACAAATTCGTGGAACTTCCCACGCTCTACGCGAAAAATATCAGCTCGCTCTTGTTCGCTGGAATGAAAATAATGAAGTTACTAGGGCAACTAATATTTTAACTCCAGAAATATTTACTGTAGAAAACTGTAACACATGGTCCAGAAAAGACAGAAAAACTATAACGGCCCTTCAACCCAACGTTGTGCAAATGTATAATAAGGGAATGGGTGGTATAAACTTATTCGATAAGCTAAGACGTTTATATAGAATTCGAATTCGATCTACAAACTGGTATTAGGCGATATTCAGAATTTGCTTGAATGGGGCAATAGTCAACATGTGGCTTCTTTATCGCAACACTGAGGCAATTTCTTTATTAGAATTTTACAAGAGAATTGTGGTCCCTGCTGACAGCCCCAAAACACCACGTGGAGTTCGTCCAAAATCTTCAAAACATGTTGCTGACGAAATTCGTTTGGATCATGTAGACAAAATTGAAAAATAAGGAAGGTGCGACAAATGTAGCAAGTGTACCAAATATCGATACAATAAATGTATGTATAAATAATGTTTTATGAAATATTGAGTCCTTCATTTCCCAGCACGCCAAAAAGGGCAGTTACAAAGAAAAAAATGTAAATTTTGCACATTGGTATTAAAATCAACCTCTTTTTATTTCATTCTGTAGTTTTGATTTCATTTCGATAAAAATTTAATTTTGTGCATTAATGGGCTTATAGTAAGAGGTTCATTCTACAGCGTCTTTAATATAGCATGTTTTAATTTTCTATGATGTGTCTGATTTTCCGAGGGAAATATCACGGATGCAAGATAGTTGCCAAAATAAGTAGACAGTCCGATAAGTAGGTACTTTTAGCCTCACCACGAGAGAGAGTGCATTAGTGATGTTGTGTAAAGAGAAAAATGCTTTATAGTAAATTACGTATTTTGTAACAAGCCACTCACATTTACCAGAACGTTACAACTATAGGAATATTTATTAAACTTGCTTCGATTTCAGGACTTGCTTCAAAAACGGACTCTGATCGTTCTTTCACGCGACCCTTCATATGAATATGAAGTATGAAACTTAAGTGATGTAAAACGAGACGATTTACTGTTGGTGAAGCACCCATAAATTTATTAAAATGAAACTATTTATCATTACGAAAAAAGCAGACAAAACAACAAATAAAACATTTCTTGTACCAACCTTAAGACTTCTTCTGATGTCATTAATAGATACGTATCCCTTTCTATCCTTATCGATGTATTGGAATCTCTTGATATAAAGTTGAATTTCTTCTTTGCTTAAGTTAATAGGAATCTTGTCTCTGCTAGCACGGTTGACGTTTTGGCCCATTTCGTTTTGAAGGAACTCTGAAGCGTCTTTAATCTGTTTTTGCTTTTCGGCTGAAAGTATACCGAAAAAATGAATAAATATCTCAATTTGAGAGGCACCTGATATTATATTTTTAAGTTTGTTTTAAATAGTGAAACAAACTGTAGATATTCGCGTTCTCAAACGACTATAGATGGCAGCACTTGTTTTGAAAGCTGGTGGACGAAATAGGGATACCTAACCATATTATTTCTTTTTTAATATTATCATATAGTGGGAAAATCGCAGTGATACAACCATTGTGCCTTCAAACGAGCAATTTGAGAGGAGTACCCCATCAAATATAAGTGAAAATTGAAGTGATTGATAATATTAAAAATGTTGTTTGTAATTATATATGTAAGGCTGGAAATTCAGGCAAATGCAAACATATAATTGGCACATTACTATACAGGGTGATTGATAAGTATGAGGAAGCTCAGTAGATCTGTTATAGTAAAAATTACAAAAAAAAGTTATTGATAAAAATTGTAGGCAGCTTTAAACTCCACATTTTAAAATTAGTTACAATCTTACAGGGTGTTCCATAAGTTGGTGGCAGACCAAACACATGTTTTTTTTAAACAGAACACGCTATATTTTATTCTAAATTTGAAATCTGCTTCACTTCCACATTACAACAATGTAAAGTTGGTAAATCAATCATGGCCAACTCACAATAATTAATGGTAAACGTTTAAATATCTACCAAATTAATACTTTGATAGAAAAATAAAAATATCTAGTAAACTGATAACTTTGGGTATAGGAAGTACTTCATAAAATTTAAAGTACGATATTAGTACTTTTCGATAGTGATATTAAATACAAGGTGTTCTATTTAAAATTATCAAAAAAATAATGTACTTGCATTTTGACTTACCCTGTATTTGATTTAACAATCAAATACTAATATATATTCAACCACCAATATTCAACCAATATTCAAACACCAATATTCACCGTATTCAAACAGTTTTTATATTGGTGGAGATACGTAGACGACGTACTGGTATGTTTTACAGGAACTAACAGGCAACTCGACCAATTTTTATCGTATATTAATTCACTTCATAGTCATATTGAATTTACAATAGAAACAGAACAAATTCAATCCATAAATTTTTTAGATTTAAAAATTAGCAGACTTCAAAACAAACATGACTTCTCCATATTTCATAAACCTACCCATACTGACACGACTATACACAATTCATCATCCCATCCAACACAACATAAACTGGCAGCTTATCATCGTATGTTACATAGATTAACAGAAATTCCGATGTCAAAATACAACTTTGAGACAGAATTAAATATAATTAAGCAAATAAACAACAATAAAAAGCAGTAAACAACGGATACAATGAACAAACAATTAATAAAATGTTAAATCAAAAACTACACAAGAAAGCCCTGAAATTAGTATTTCCACCACCAGAGAAAAAACCCAACATCTTCTACTCGATTACATATACAGGCAAAATAACAACAAAAATTGCCAAACACATAAAAAAGAAAGGAATAACACCAGCTTTCCGAACAAATAACAACCTAGGCAAATATATTAAAAATAACAAGAGCCAAAATAAAAAACACTTAAATAGTGGTGTGTACAAACTTCAATGTGGCGACTGCCCAAAAACTTACATCGGTCAAACTGGTAGAAACTTTGATAAACGAATAGCAGAACATAAAAGGGCTTTCAAAAATAGAAAAACAGATTCGATATACGCACTTCACCTTCTAGATGATATTCATTCTTTTAATGACAAATTTAAAATTCTTCACATTTAAAATAAAGGCCTTAAGCTATCTTTGTTAGAATCTACGGAAATCAACAAATTAAAAAACACAGATATAATTCTGAATGACCAACTTGAGACCAGCAGTTCTCCCCTCCTTAACCTATTTCATTAGAGACTATAAATTTGTAAACCCAAGACAAAAATAGATCACTTGAGAAAGGCTATCAGCCGAAACAGCTGTTGTGATAATAGTTAAAATAAATTTTGTGGAAGTTTGAAAACAAAGTTTTCAGTGTTTTATTGTTACATAAAATGAATTTCCATCAAGTAACGGTCGAATCCATCAATTATAAATAAGAAACTTGATTTAAAAGATTGATTTATTTCTTATAGGTACTTTTACTTGGAAAAATATTTACACTTCACTACACTCACATTAATATCTATCATTACTAAGTATTGGTGCAGAAAGGTTAACAATACCTGTAATAATATTTATAACAGAGTCCATATAAGGACCTAGGCAGTAGCGAACCTAGAATTATCCTCTGGGGGTGGTTTTGGTTAGGCACCGAAATTTTTTTATGCTACCTTCACCATTTTAAGTCCTTAAAATTTGTGAATAACAGTGTCGGAATAGGGTCTTGGGGGGGGGGATTTAACCCCCAAAACTCCACTGGGTGCGCCACTGGCTAGGAACAAATTAACTCTTGCTTTAAAGATTTTTAGCCGTTGTATAGTTTTTTCAACGTTTACTTTTGCTGAAGCAATTTCAGCGGTACAAAGAGCATCTTGCATTTATAATTGTTTTCTTTTTCCCAAAAATGGCGGTCTTATTAATTCGATTTTCTTTTTAATATATTCATTTAAATCGTTCTAGCATTCTCTAAAAGCGTTTTTCTACTATTTTAGCATCCTCATTTGGTGTCAATTTGTCCAATAATCTTGACTAAATGAAAATTTGTTTGTCTGAATATGGCCACCATAAATAGGACTTACAAATGTAATTGAACCAGATGGTGATATTCCAATAATAACTTTTAATGTATGGCCCCCTTTGTAGTGAAAATAAGTCATTACACGACGCTTGAGACACTTGCTTTATTTGTAAAAATTCTGTGCAGTCTAAAAAATTCTTGTTTAAGGAAATTTCGTAAAACTAACAAGTATTATATTTTGAATCTCTTCTTTTTCTGGCCATGGGATTGCAGGTTTTAATACTTCAGAAAGAACTTCCACCGTTATCTAAAAATAATTTCTACATGTGTTTTCTGAGATACCAAAAATATAACAGATAGGCAAAGAAAAGTGAGGTCAGTTTTTAAGTTAGCAAACACTAGAACAATACGTTGTTTTAGCTGAAGCAAAAATGGTTTCGAATTTTTGTTTTCTAACAAACTAACAGCTTCACAAATTTTCCAGCAAATTTAGAGTGGGTATTCCAGTGAAAACATTTAAATCGCGATTTGTTTGTATTAAATCATACAAAGTAACTTTTTTGCCTTCACTTAATATAGATGGGGTCACTTGGATATCATTCTCTTTTGTGCTGATTTTCAGTGAGTGATCTCGCTGTAACTCTGGACTATTTCGGATGGCTTCTAAAACTACTACTTATCGCTGTATCCTTCGATTTCATCTTTCATAATTGTTGACGTTGTTGACTCTGCGTCAATCAACACATCTTTTGAAATAGATAATGTAGTAGATAGATGCCTTTGTTTGGCTCATTTTGATCTTTCTTCTCGAGATGATCCTTGTGAAGAAGGCAACACTCTGTCCAAAGATCGAATAGGTAGATTTTCAGACCTTTTTTAAAAATCGTTTACCAGACTTAACATGTAAAAAATACGTAAAACGTTATTTCAATGATAAAAAAGAACCAGGCTGAGACAATATTACCTAAATAAATTTCCCATCAAATATGATTTACCTGGAAAAAAGTAATCCGATTTATTAAAGTGTCGGCTCTATACATTTATGAATTTTTTCACAGGTTTCGCAATACGAAGAGCTACTTGCCATTTTTTTCGTAATTTCTCGTCCTTTGGAAAGCAGTGGATATGTATATCTTTCGTACATCGAACAAAATATTGTGGCACTGGAGAATATCTATTACTTTTCTTCTTATCGCACATTATTTTTAAAATTTGATGAAATTTATACCAGTTTTAAACTCTAATTTATTCAAATTTTTGACTCTTATTCCTATTTTATTAGTTATTAATATTGACAGCAGTTGGCAGCACGGTCGTTTAAGAACGTGAATAGAGTAAGTTCACTTTTCAAGTTTTTGTTAAATACGATTGATTTGCCATTTACCATAAATATATTTTGACTACATATCCTCATGAACAAAATATTGACCACAAAAGAAATACCTGATAGCTGGAACGATCCGCAGACACTATTAATGTTCAAAAAAGGTGACCGAAAGACCTTAGAAAACTACAGACTTATAACATTACTAAGTGTTGTATTTAAACTACTAACGAAGATCATGACAAATAGACTAACAACTAAGCTTGACGAATACCAAGCAAGAGAACAAGCGGGATTCAGAAAGGGTTTTATTACTAGCGACCATCTGCTAACAGTAAAAATACTGATTGAAAAGTCGAACAAGTATCAAATCCCATTATACATGGCATTCATAGACTTCCGAAAGGCGTTTGACAGCATAGAACATTGGGCCATCCAAAACTCACTACAGAACGGCAGAATTGATTACAGGTACACGGACCTAATAACAAACATATACAAAAATGCGAGTACCACAATAAAATTGACGAACGAACAAGCTACAGAACCAATAAAATTGGAAAGAGGAATCAGGCAGGGAGACACAATATCACCAAAATTGTTCAATCAGGCTATGGAAGACATATTTAAAAAATTAGAATGGGATACATACGGAATAAGAATAAATGGAGAGCTCTTGAACCACTTGAGATATGCAGACGATATAGTCCTGATAACAGATAAGAAGAAAGAGTTACAGAAGATGGTTAAGGAACCAGATAGAAAAGCGATAGAGGTAGGTCTAGAAATGAACTATAGTAAAACCAAGACTATGACAAACCAAGAAGACCAATTAGAAATAGTAGTCAAACAGAATAAATTAGAGCAGGTGGCAGAATACATATACCTAGGACAGATAATAAAGCTGAACAGGGACAATCAAACAGAAGAAATAAAAACAAGAACTAGACTAGCATGGGCCTCATTTGGTAAACTATTATATATTCTAAAAAATAAAAAGTTCCCTCAATATATACGAACGAACATATTCAATCAGTGCATTTTACCAGTTATCACATATGGCTTACAAACATGGACTTTCACAAAGGAGAACATCGACAGGATATCCAAAACACAAAGACTACAAGAATAAAAAAGTGAAAACATTATAAACATTAAAGAGTTTCTTATGTTAAAGATACCTTATTTGTTAAAATTAAAAAAAAAACACAATATTAATTTATTAGGAGAAGATTCTAATATCAATAATATTCCTTTAGATACCGGCACTTACAAAAGTAGTAAATATTATATTATTGATGAACTCACCTTCGGACCATCCTAGTTCTTCAGCCATGATGTTGACTATATCTGGAAGAGCTTCTTGGGCGGCTTGAACATTCAAAAACGCTAATCTCAGTCTTCTGGCGATCATGTCTATTGCTGTTACGGCATATTCTTTGACACCATATCTTACTTCAGCGTCGATGTATGGAAACTCTGGATGGAGTTTCTTACCGATGATGGGCCATCTTTTACCTTAAAAATATCATAAAGAATATATCTTAGAAGGTTCAAAACATATATTTAGCGTACGGAATTTCGACATAAAAAACATTTAGTCTATATTAAATAAACTTAAAAACTTATAGTTAACAAAAGATAGAGATAAAAAAACAATTAAATGTAAGAGTCATCATCATCATCACCCAGCCCTTTGCGCCCATTTTTGTCCATTGTGCTCTATCTTGAGCACTTAACCTTTTTCTTGAGATCGTAAGTCCAACGAGTAGGCGGTCCTCATCTACTTCTTTTGTCTAACCTCAGCCTCCGTTCAAGCAATCTCTTTGTCCACCTTTCATCACTGATTCGGGCGACGTGTCCGGCCAAGTTCCATTTCAGTGTGGCAATTTGGAAAATTAGATCTGCAACTCCTGTTCTTCGTCTTGAGTTCATTTCTAACGTTTTAAAAAATTGGTATACCCCTTTTAAAGAGGTTTGTCATTAATTTTGTTTTGGAGATGTTTATTTTAAGTCCTAAACTGGCACACACTAACTGAAGCTCGTGTAGCATTGTATACAGGGTGAGTCATGAGGAACTTTACATACTTCTACCATATGTAGAGTCCCTCAGGGAGCATATGATGTGGCCACTAAAAAATGTCAACTCCTCTTCGTTATTAATTAACAGGGTGATTTGTGTAATTGACCATTTATTTGATTTTACTGTAGTGTTTATACGGCTCATTTGATTTTTTAAATTTTTGCATGATACAGTACACTACTATCAAGCATTCGACTGGTATTAGCTAAACTAAAAAATTCCAGGACTGGCTTTGGAAAAATTAATTTAGGGATTCGTATTAAATATTACACCCTGTATATATATATATATATATATATATATATATATATATTTTAAAATGCAATAAGTAATTTTCAAACTACATAAATAGCCAATGAAAACGACATATGCGACAATGTTGTCGCACTTTTATTAAATTTTTAGTGAACGATCAAATCTTACCAAAAATAGAACAACCATAATGAAGTATCAAATTATAAGGTATTAATTTAAACAAATGTTACAAATTTCAAACATTTTAATTAAAATGAGTTCCTACAACATAATCTAATATGTAGAAAATTATCATCTTTACTGTCACTTTGTATTATCTCTACGATAGAATCAATTGTTTTTCAATTTTAAATTTTTACTCACAGATCGTATTGGGGCATTATTTTCGATAAATAATAAATTAAATTGATTAAAAAGTCAAACCTCTTGTGTTAGTTTTTGTTGATTGTAAATGATTAAAATTTTATGTCAAATAATAATACATTGCATCAACTGTACTAAATAAAAATAAATCTAAAAAAGTTTAAAATGAAGGTTGGCGTTAACCGTTTGACGTTTCTTGATATTTTATACCCATTGTCATTATTGTCATTATCAATTGTTATTTATATGTACAAGAATACATTTCTTCTGTCATATCTACGTTAAGTACATTGTGTTAGTTTTGGTAGAGCTTTTGTTACTTTCGTTCAAAATGCCACATCAGTTTTCGACCACAGCATATGCAGACATAATATTTGTTTATAGATTCTGTAATGGGAATGGTAGGGCTGCTAGTAGAGAATATCGCAGGAGATTTCCTAATCGTCGAACTCCCAGTCATCCAACATTTGGGTCAGTTTTTAATTATTTGCGAGAAAATGACACTTTTCCTAGTGGAACAACAGAGCGACATGTAGATGAAGCGCAGGAAGATAACATTATGGACGCCGTTACTATGAACCCTACAATAAGCACTAGACAAGTAAGTCGAGAACTCAATGTTACTTAATCAAAAGTAAGTAGAGTCTTACAAAAAAATAATCTATACCCATATCACATTCAAATGGTTCAGCGACTACATGCTGGAGATGAGATCGATAGGTTGGAATTTTGTAGATGGATTAACAATAATCGACCAACGCTATACAGGACACTATTTACAGATGAAGCCCAATTTACCAGAGACGGGATAAATAATTCACGAAATTCACATGTGTGGGCAGAAGAAAATCCCCATGCTATTCGAGAACGTCGTTCTCAGTTAAGGTTTTCGGTTAACGTGTGGATTGGTGTCATAAATAACCAATTAGTAGGTCCTCACTTTTTTGATGGTCCTTTAACAGGGCAGGTCTATTTGAACTTTCTACAAAATATTTTGCCGAATTTGCTTGCCAACGCGAACGTTGCTATCCGAGGGATGTATTTTCAGCATGATGGAGCACCCCCACACTTTTTACTGGCAGTGAGACAACATCTCAATAATGTTTATGGCAACAGGTGGATAGGACGTGCAGGTCCTATTTCGTGGCCTTGATCCTCTGATTTCAATCCCGTTGATTACCATATTTGGGGACGATTGAAGCAACTAGTTTACGCAGTGAATATTAATAACCGACAACAATTAACTGATAGAATTATACATTGTTGTAATACTATTAGAAACGATGCCCAGAGTATCCGTAATTCGATACGACAATTAACAATTCGGCAACAAAAATGTGTACAGGCTGCAGGGTTCCATTTCGAAAATCTATTTTGAATTATTTTTATTTTGTTACCATTATTGTATCTTTTCCAGTTCTAATTTATGAGTTTATCATATCTATGTACATATTTTTAGTTTTTTTTTTAAATTGTTCTTCGGTATTGTTAGTAGTTACTGTTTTTTATTGTGCAGTGACAGTTTATCATTTCAATTAAAATGATAATACAAAGTGACAGTAAAGATGATAATTTTCTACATATTAGATTATGTTGTAGGAACTCATTTTAATTAAAATGTTTGAAATTTATAACATTTGTTTAAATTAATTACCTTATAATTTGATACTTCATTATGGTTGTTCTATTTTTGGTAAGATTTGATCGTTCACTAAAAATTTAATAAAAGTGCGATAACATTGTCGTATATGTCGTTTTCATTGGCTATTTATGTAGTTTGAAAATCACTTCTTGCATTTAAAAAAAAATATATACAGGGTGTAATATTTAATACGAATCCCTAAATTAATTTTTTCAAAGCCAGTCCTGGAATTTTTTAGTTTAGCTAATACCAGTCGAATGCTTGATCGTAGTGTACTATATCATGCAAAAATTAAAAAAATCAAATGAGCCGTATAAACACTACAGTAAAATGAAATAAATGGTCAATTACACAAATCACCCTGATAATTAATAAAGAAGAGGAGTTGACATTTTTTAGTGGTCACATGATATGCTCCCTGAGGGACTCTACATATGGTAGAAGTATGTAAAGTTCCTCATGACTCACCCTGTATATCCCTTTCAAGTTGTCCGAGAACAAAACTATATCGTCTGCGAATTTCAAATTTGTTAATCTTCTACCGTCAAGGTTCAGGTCTTTCTCTTCTCAGTTAATTTTTTTACAAGCTTATTCTAGTACTGCGGTAAACAGTTTAGGCGAAAAGGTATCACCCTATTGGACTTCTCTACTGCTTGGGATATGATACGTGTTTTTATGTAGCTTCACCGACATGGTTGCGTTCTTGTAGGTATTGTAAATTAACCTTGTATATCGGTAATCAATGCGGCATCCTTGCAGTGCTTTCAGGATTTTGTCAAATTCTACCGTGTAAAAATCTACAAAAGCCAGAAAGAGTGGTCGATTGTATTCGATAGTCTTTTCTATTACCGTTTTAATGCTCTGTAGGTGATCATTTGTTCCAAATCCGGTACGAAATCCCGCTTGCTCTATTGGCTGGTAGAAATCGAGTTTTTTTTTAAAGAAGATTCGTTATTATTCTTGTAATGAGTTTGTATAGGTGTCTAAGAAGACTGATAGCTCTATAGTTTTTTAATTTATGGGATATCCTTTTTTGTACAATAGAATTACCTCAGCATTGTGCCATTTGTCGGGTATATTACTGTCCAAAATGCACATGTTAAACAGATTTATTATTTTCTTATGTAGGCAAGTACCTCAGATTTTGATTGCATCAGTAACTACACAATCTTCCACTGCAGATTTGTTATTTTTAGCTTTTCTTGGAGCTAGTTTTATTTCATCTATTATGATTTCCGGTAGTAATTCTAATCCTTGATTGAGAATGCCCTTTTTTCTTGTTAATATTTCTGGTACTTCATCTTTTCTGCTATTTGCATTTGTATTGGCATGTGTACAGCAATTTGAAAAAGTCTTCAACTATTTTAAGGGTTTTTTCTCTATTGATTGTAAGATGACCATTTCTGAACCTGTAAGAAATATGAGAGTAGAAGACAAAAAAAGAAAAACACGTAATTTAACTGCTTACTAAATTTAACTTCAACAATAAAAAAAAGCAAACTGAAAATTGGAAAAATCAAAAACTAATAACGAAATGGTTGGTGGAATATCCAGAGAAGATCGGATAAAGAATTCAAAGAAGTCGAAAGCTCTTATTATGATTATTAAAAGTCTTCTCATTTCCCTGCTGATGAAACTCAGAGGAAAATGAAGTAAAGGTAGTTTCCAGGTGTTGGAGAAATATATTTGCCTTTGTATATGTTGTTGTGATAGTAACAATCGCTTTTGGAAGGCTACCAACTCTTTCAGGTATTTACTAGTTGATGTATTTTTAAATCACGTAGCATTTTTTAGGTCTTTTGCTGCTTTGTTAAATGCAGCTTTATTGGTCGGTCTTAAATTGTTTTGCAAAGTCTATTTAAGTTTTCTCTTTTTTTTTTAATTGTCAGTTTAATCGCCTGAGGATAGCACTCCCTGTTAGGTTAATAGTTGGATGGTGGGGTGGATACTTCCCGTTAGACATAAGTTTATGTGTGAGTTATTAGTAATGTTTTTTAATAAATTCCAACTGGATTTTGATAAATAAAATGTAGGAGTTCTAGGTAAAAAAATATTTCAGAAAACAGAGTGAGAAATACGAGTACTGGCAAGTGATCAGATGTTAAGTCGAAGAATGATTTAGTTGTTAAATGATTATCTGCTATACATTTGGTTATATAGAAATCAAGGAGATATGGTAGTTTTCTTCTGTCCGTTGGCCAATATGTAGGTTTACTGTAGAGTGACTTTAAGGTTATTAATATTAATTGCCTGAAGTAGTTGTCGGCCACGTGGCTCCATCAATCTAGAGCCTCAAAAAAAAGGATGTTTCACATAGTAATCACCAACGGCTAGAAACCTTGATCCAAGTGATTTAAAAAATTCAGAAAAGTGATTTGTTTTTATTGTATGCTTGGAAGGGCAGAATAATGATGGAATAAAGATTGGCCCACTCCAGTTTTCAATACAATGTTTGTGGCCTGCAGATGCGAAACTTTAGTTGCCTCTAGTTCGGAATGTTTTATACTGCTTTTGATAATTATGGCAGAATGTCCGTGTATCATCAGGATGGTTAGTGGTATAGAATTTATAGTTTGGAACTTCCCAGTAACCTTTACCTGTTCTTTTCGGAAATAAGTATGATATATATTTTATTTGTAATTAAAAAGGTTTTTAACTGTAGTCTGTATTGAGTTATTACCTATGGAATTCCATATTGCCAGTTTAAGTAGAATCTTAAGTTTGCAAGGTCTTTTCCTTAAAAAGACAAACTACTTGAATTTCCTTCAAGACTAACTTCCCCCCTTCAAGAACTATCCCTTTACTCGTTAAATAGTTGCAATAAAACCGATGATCACCAGTCACTAGTTTATCATAACGGTTTTTAAACTATGTTTTCTCAAACATTTAATAATAATCCTTGTATCGGTATGTAAGTAATATTTATTTAATTTCAATTTTACTAAATAATTTTTCACTAAATTTTTATTTAATTAATTTAAATTCATATATAATATTAACACACATACAGTGCTAGTTAAAAGTCCGTTCCCCACCTCGTATCTTTTGAACGGTTATTGTTGTAATAGTGAAATTTGAGAGGTAATAAACAAACGTAGGCTTCTCAAATATTCATAACAGGTGACGTAACTTGTGACAAATGACGTTATAGCGCCACTGTGACAGATAATTTTAAATGAGACCTTATGGCAAGTAATATCTCGTTTAAAAGGCATTGAAAATACCTATTCAGTCATAATAATTTTGTTTGAGTTTAAGCTGATTTTAATGAATAAATTAAATAAATACTAAAATTGTAGCTTCCCATTTAATTAATAAATAATTAACAACCAGTTCTTATAGTAAGTGCTTAAAATGTGCTCCATCACTTCCTGACAGCAATGTATTCTATTTATAAACTCTTGCCGCACTCGTTCAAATGTGTCGGGGGAAATCGCCCTACATTCTTCAACAATTCGTTGTTTAAAAATGTCAATATTGTCGGGTGCTGTAGCGTAAACTTTAGATTTCAAGTATCTTCACAGAAAAAAATCTAATAGTGTGAGGTCCGGTGACCGAACTGGCCATTCTATAGTACCTCGTCGTCCAATCCATCTAACACATATTCCTAATCTAGGTAACGTCTTATTGCACCATAATGATGTGCAGGAGCACCATCTTGTCTAAACGTTATTTCCAAGTTACCCAATTCCTGTGGATTATCCTCCAGAATCTCAAGTATTGACGGTTTAACGTTTTCTTTTGGAAATTGAGTATGTGAAAGACGTGAAGGATAACAGACGTGAGGATTCGTATCACTCCAATACCACACATTGTATGTGTTAACATTTCCATTAAGAGAAAAAGTACTTTCGTCACTGAAACAAATTGTTTTTATGTAATCGGGCTGTTGGTTAATTTTATTGGACATATTTTCACAGAATTCTAGTCTTCGGTCGAAGTCATCATCTGAAAGTTGGTGAACAATTTTTAATTTGTGTGGATACAATTTGTTTTCAGCGATTGAATAGGTATTTTTAATACCTTTCAAACGATGCCTTAAGGCAGGTAATACGCCTTAAGCGTATTACCTGCCATAAGGTCCTATTTAAAATTATCTGTCACAGTGGCGCTGTAACGTCATCTGTCCCTAGAATTTTACTAGTTAAGCAGCCTACGTCTGTTTATTACCTCCCTCCAAATTTCACTATTATAAGTATAACCGTTCAAAAGATAGGAGGGGGGAATGGACTTTTGACTAGCACTGCATAATATTGGCATAATTGCATATATTCTGTTCCAGACAGCACCTTAATACGGGTCATTATATTTTCAGCATTTAGTTTACCATGTACCGTTTACCTGAAGATGCATAGCAAATTTTAGTATGCGAAACCGGTCGTTGGTGGTAAAATAAATTGATTGTGATTAAAATCATGAATGTGTTGCTTGTGTGAGTCCATATCAAATAGGTAAAGAAATAATAATAAGACTTACTCACAATCAATTTAATTTAACAATCAGACGACCGGTTTCGCTTTCTACAATTTGCAAAGCATCTTCAGGTCTAGATACAAAGTTAAACTAATGCTGCAATAAAATAAACCCAATTAGGGTGGTGTCTAATAAAGATAAAATAAACAAATAAGTTAGTTCATACAAATTATAGTAATTATGCCAATATTACATGTCTGTGGTTTTCAAAATGAATAAATTTGAATATATAAAAGGTATTAACAGACAAGGTAAGACCCACAATTGGTATAAAGTAGTAATATTATATTGTAATAAATTAATAAATGAGCAGATAAATAAAACAAAACAAACATTACTTACATGCCGGTACTCTATTAATTGATGGATGGTAGGTCATGGTTGCAAAAATCATGTATTGTTGATTGGAGAACTTTAATGTGCTATTGCAGTTGTTTTGACAATAAACGGGAAGTTCTTGAGGAGAACAGATTTGATCCAATGAATTAGAGATAGGTATATTGTGGTTGTTTGTCAAATGAAAGTGATGTTCTTTACTATTGTATTATTTAAATTATTTACACTTATATCAGAGATATATTTTTGGAATGTGTGTTATTTATTGAGTATTTATGTTATGAAGGAGACATAAATACTCAATAAATAACACACATTCCAAAAATATATCTCTGATATAAGTGTAAATAATTTAAATAATACAATAGTAAAGAACATCACTTTCATTTGACAAACAACCACAATATACCTATCTCTAATTCATTGGATCAAATCTGTTCTCCTCAAGAACTTCCCGTTTATTGTCAAAACAACTGCAATAGCACATTAAAGTTCTCCAATCAACAATACATGATTTTTGCAACCATGACCTACCATCCATCAATTAATAGAGTACCGGCATGTAAGTAATGTTTATTTTGTTTTATTTATCTGCTCATTTATTAATTTATTACAATATAATATTACTACTTTATACCAATTGTGGGTCTTACCTTGTCTGTTAATACCTTTTATATATTCAAATTTATTCATTTTGAAAACCACAGACATGTAATATTGGCATAATTACTATAATTTGTATGAACTAACTTATTTGTTTATTTTATCTTTATTAGACACCACCCTAATTGGGTTTATTTTATTGCAGCATTAGTTTAACTTTGTATCTAGACCTGAAGATGCTTTGCAAATTGTAGAAAGCGAAACCGGTCGTCTGATTGTTAAATTAAATTGATTGTGAGTAAGTCTTATTATTATTTCTTTACCTATTTGATTGTGATTAAGTCTTATTCTTATTGTTTTACCTATTTGAAATAGACTCACACAGACAACATATTCAAGATTTTAATACATATATTTTACTCTTGGCTCCCCTACAAATACCGTTTATACTGGTAGTTTATTACTGGATAATTACTTTAACGTTTAACAAAAACACAAACACTTTTTTCGATTGTTATATTTAAGTTTCCTAATGCCGAATTAATTACTATATGGTAAGGATGATAAGGTTATTATACTAGTTATCTCTATGATACTTGTTTAAAGTTCGAAGATTTGAACGAGACTGGGAATACACGTACCGAAATAAAATATTTATTATACAGGGTTTTTAAACATGGCATGAAGGCCAAGCAAACAGGAGCAATCAAGAAAGAATCAGTTACGTATTTAAATAAAGGGTTGTCTAAAATAAACTCATTCATGCCCAGAACTATTTAAGTTTTTTTTTGATTATATAAGTCCATCATTTTTCAAAAGATGACGTCATAGTGGTCATAATGGGTAAAAGGAAAGAGTCTAATTACAATATAAATGTTTATAGAAACTTATTTTGTAAGCGTTTTGCGAATTAAATTTGAGTTTATAGCTCTTTTAATACCAACTAAAGTATATACTATAGAATTATACCTGTTAAGGCAGCCATTTTAGCTACAGCAAAGGCTCTGTCACCGTATGATTTCGACAAATGTTGTGCAACCTCACATTCCAAACCAAAATCTTGTACTAAGCGAATGTACATGGTTGGTGTCCAGCCATGGGCGCCATAGAGTACCATCATATCAGTCTGACTGTCCTTGTACTTGGGAGTTAAGTTACAGGCTAAAAAACGTAACAGAATATTAATACACCAATAACAATAAACTGTTTCTACAATTTAAAGTTTTTAAAGTCAGTCTATGTCACGGAAATTTGAAAGCTCCCGATTTTTCTGTTTCAAAAACCTATTCACTGATTAGTACAAGAGCTTAAGGCTTACTTCCAGTTTGGTTATTTTAGGTAGATCGGTGAATATACTTAAAAACTAAAAGAGACAATGTATATTTTTATATTTCTATGGTTAAAATACTAGTCCTAACCACTAAAAACGCTACTTAATTTATTAGACACCATAAAAATTTCAGTTTTTGATTTCAATCGCACTGAAAGTATGTTCCTATACCTATTGGGTACAAAGTTACGTAAAAGTGGTATAAATTTTTAGAATTAGATTTGTACGGAGATATAAATTTAGGCAAATCGTTAGCATACGATTTAACTTACTACTGGCATTTGCAGACGATATCGATCTAATTGGAAACACACGATTAAGGATGAAGGAGCCTTTTGTGAGGTTCGAGAAGGAAGCAGAGAAGATGGGGCTCCAAATCAACGAGAACAAGACGAAATATATATTATATATATATATATATATATATATATATATATATATATATATATATATATATATATATATATATATATATATATATATATATATATATATATATATATATATATATATATATATATATATATATATATATATATATATATATGGGCATTTCGCAATTGCGGGCACTCTAACCAGTCTAACCTAACCAAATATATTTTCCTCAAGGCACTGCGTCACAGTGTTGCCGTATTTATTTTAGTAAAATATGTATATGAATGCTACAAATATAAATTTACTTTTACGAAATAATAATTTGTGTTATGAGAAGCTACAAATTTTAAATAAGTATAAAACTTGCCGTATTTTTTTTGTAAAATGTATATGAAGGTTTAAAATATAAGTTACTTTTACGAAATTATAATTTGTATTATGAGAACCTACAAGATTTAAATAAGTATAAAACAAATATTTTCTTTGTTTATAAAACAAATTTCTTATAAAAAAAAAAAAGTTTGTTTCTTATAAAACAAATATTTTGTAAAATCTTTGAATTTTTATATAATTTCAATGCATTTCTATTATATATGGTAATTTAATTATTACTATTAATTTTTTATATAAGTTTAATCAATTTTATTGTATATGCATTTGATTATCTTTAATTTAACTAAAATCTATCCTATTAATTTTTTATATATCACTTTAATCAACATTTGTATATTATGTGAGAGTATGAAAAAACTGGAGACTTGGCAACTCTGACACCATTTAAGTGAACGTTAAATGTCATATAAATGCTTGGTTAGGTTAGAGTGCCCGCAATTGCGAAATGCCCATATATATATATATATATATATATATATATATATATATATATATATATATATAATTCTTTGGAGGATAACTTTCGGGAAAGCGTCAAAACAAGGATCAGCTAGAGATGGTATAAGCCAGTTTGATGTAGAACTTTATTCTAAATGTGAAATTTTCGGTGATATGTTGTCACCTTCATCAGCACCTAAATGGAAAACCTATTTTAGTACAAGTGGTGGAAATTAACATATAAAACCTACATTGAAAATGTTCAGTTGGTCCTAGAGGTGAAGAACACTGTCACAAACATTTTAAAAATATTAAAAAATACATTTAAAATTTTGAATAAAAACATTACAACACAACAGGGTATTATTTAAAATACAAACACAACAAAAATCAAAAAATTATAACCTACACAAAAACTGCAACTTCATGTTAAAGGTAGAAAAGAAGAATTATTCTTCTTTTTTGATGACATATTTCTGACTTCTGTCAATATCCGGGTGTCATATGCAACGAGGTTATAATTTTCTTAGAAGTAGAACCTCATGGATATTGAAAGAAAGAGCCCCAGGAAACACAATCAGCAGGGAAATGGAGTCTTTTCTCAAGTACAGGTAGGCAATCTATGTATGTTATGATAAGTTCCCTACATTCTCCAGTTTGTTACATCTTGTCAAGTCCTGTTGAAGTAGAAATGAATAAATACAACTTAAGTTTTCAACATCTTTCTTACAGTTCATAGAAGAACTGCAGTTATGGATGTAGCACATTTCTATGAAGTTTCTCTTAAATTGGTTGTCAACCCTCTTTAGTACTTGCACATTTTCATAGTTAGCAATGTGTCCAGTATTCTTAATATGTTGGCTAAAGGCTGTGCAGGTGGGTTTCCTCACTACATCACTCTTGTGCAAAGCTAGTCTTTTTGAAAGTTTCTGGCTGGTTTGACCGACATACACTTCTGAACAGGAACCACATGGAATAGAATGGTTCCTGTTCAGAAGTGTATGTCGGTCAAACCAGCCAGAAACTTTCAAAAAGACTAGCTTTGCACAAGAGTGATGTTGTGAGGAAACCCACCTGCACAGCCTTTAGCCAACATATTAAGAATACTGGACACATTGCTAACTATGAAAATGTGCAAGTACTAAAGAGGGTTGACAACCAATTTAAGAGAAACTTCATAGAAATGTGCTACATCCATAACTGCAGTTCTTCTATGAACTGTAAGAAAGATGTTGAAAACTTAAGTTGTATTTATTCATTTCTACTTCAACAGGACTTGACAAGATGTAACAAACTGGAGAATGTAGGGAACTTATCATAACATACATAGATTGCCTACCTGTACTTGAGAAAAGACTCCATTTCCCTGCTGATTGTGTTTCCTGGGGCTCTTTCTTTCAATATCCATGAGGTTCTAACGTGAAAATTATAACCTCGTTGCATATGAGACCCGGATATTGATAGAAGTCAGAAATATGTCATCAAAAAAGAAGAATAATTCTTCTTTTCTACCTTTAACATGAAGTTGCAGTTTTTGTGTAGGTCATAATTTTTAGATTTTTGTTGTGTTTGTATTTTAAATAATACCCTGTTGTGTTGTAATGTTTTTATTCAAAATTTTAAATGTATTTTTTAATATTTTTAACATGTTTGTGACAGTGTTCTTCACCTCTAGGACCAACTGAACATTTTCAATGTAGGTTTTATATGTTAATTTCCACCACTTGTACTAAAATAGGTTTTCCATTTAGGTGCTGATGAAGGTGACAACATATCACCGAAAATTTCACATTTAGAATAAAGTTCTACACCAAACTGGCTTATACCATCTCTAGCTGATCCTTGTTTTGACGCTTTCCCGAAAGTTATTCTCCAAAGAATTGTATTCTTAGCGTCGTTATACAAACTCTATATATATATATATATATATATATATATATATATATATATATATATTATATATATATATATATTTATATGAGCCGCAATAACCAAAGCAGACGGTCAGAAAATGGTCAGAACATCACCATCGATGACTTTAACTTTGAGCGCGTTAGAGAATTTAACGGTAGCTTGGAACAACAATAACTGAAGACAATAACAACAGGATTCAGGCCGGCGACAGATGTCTTTTTGCCCTCCAAAACCTTATAAAATCGAAACAACTAACAAGACGTACGAAGATACAGGTCTATAAAACAATCATACGACCCGTTGTTATGTATGGAAGCGAAACGTGGACGATAGCAAAGGCAAACGAAGAGAGACTATGTGTTTGGGAAAGAAAAATCCTAAGGAAGATCTTTGGTCCTGTGCTGGATGAAGCATCAGGACAATATAGGATAAGAACTAACGAAGAGCTTGAAGAACTTTACCCAGACGCCAACATCATAAAAGAAATAAAGTTCAGAAGACTCCAATGGGCAGGACACGTCAGAAGACATTCTGCTGAACGAACAGTAAGACTGGTGTGGAAGGAAGTCCCAACTGGAAGGAGACCACGTGGATGCCCTCGTTTCCGGTGGCGAGATAATATAGCAGGAGACCTAATCACTATGGGTATGGAAAATTGGATGGAGGTTGCTCAAGACAAAAAACAGTGGAGGCATGTTGTCGAGTCGGCTAAAACTAACGAAGGGTTGTAACGCCACGGAGTAAGTAAGTAAGTAAGTTGACATAAATATTAAACAAAAGAGGTTCTAAGACTGAACCTTGTAGGACTCGGATGTTTTAAAGATAGAAAATCGGAGAGATGACCTTTAGACACTATCGCCTGGCGTCTGCCACATAGATAAGAATCTTAAGAGGGATACCTTAATTCCGTAGTAATTTAATTTGTGAAGCAAAATGTCGTATGAAACGCAGTAAAGTGATTGCCGCGATAAGCCTTCGACAAGTGATTGCCGAATTCAAGCCCCTTAATCCCTCGCTCACAACAATAAATACGCGTTCGTAGTAGAACGAGCACTTCTGCATCCATATTGTGAATCGCGTAAGTAATTATTTGAATCCAAATAGGAATAAAATTGTTGTTTGATAACCTTTTCAACCACTTTCCCAAAAGTAGAAACAATGCCTTTGGGTCTGTAATTGCTAGTTTTTGAGGAATCACCTTTTTGTAGATAGCTATACTAAATTCACAATCAAGATGCACTAGAAATAAACAAACCTAGACAGTTAAATGTTATGAGAAACACTCCCGAATCATGATTTACAATGTATAACCTTTGTAAATCATGATTTGGGAATTATACAGTGTATATACATTGTAAATTATTATTTCAGAGTGTTCGTTGTAACATTTAATGTGTCTTGGTTTGTTTATTTCTAGTGCATCTTGATTGTGAATTGAGTATAGTGCTTTTGAGTATTTTAGTACTTCTGGAAATACTCCAGTTGAAAGAATTAAATCAATATGATGAGTGAAAGGTGTTAAAACTATTCGGTAAATTTCTTTTAAAATTTTGCTATTTATTCGTTTCGTGAACGTCTCTATAATAAGAATTATTAAGAGACTTTATTATTTGAGAGATCTCTTCTTCCACAACGGAACGAAAAAAAGACTACTAGAATTCAAAAAGACTTCAGTCAACTATCTGAATTTTGCATAAATTTTAATTTCACAATTATCTGATTAGCTTAAGTAATAATTACCTCTGATAGCTTCGTCAATAGTTTCGACAGCCATTGATCTATACGTTGTCCATTTTCCTCCGGCAATTGTCACCAGTCCGGATTCACTAACATGGACGATGTGATTTCTAGCTAAAGATTGTGTATCAGGTTTGTTGGGATCGGAAACTAGCGGCCTAATACCACTCCATGCTGACAGTACATCTCCTCTTCTTACTAAAACAACATAATATTTACAATTCTGTAACAACTAAATTTTTTGGACATCTAATTATAATAGCGGTTTAGGAAAGTTCATTAACTAACAGTTTACGAATAGTAGTAGTACAAATGCCACACAGTAATATTCCATAAAACGGGAGATGTAACAGAAATTGGAAATTACATCATTACATTAATTCATAACAGGGCATACGAAAGCAGATCTTTTATAATGCTTGTCTTCTTTGGAACATTTTATTCCTGCATTGCGGTGTTTAAAAATATGGCTGCATTCTATAAAGAGCTCAGTAGTATAAATTGATTTGTTTTCTTAGTAACCAGAATTAGTAAACAACATATTTAGTAAATTCAAGATCATCACATTTAACAACACAGAAATGCTCATTAGATTTCATTTTTTTAACGTTGGATAAAGAGAGTAACATTTTAACATACAGAGTAAAAACTAGTAAAAATTTAACGTTTACCAGATTCAAAAGTAGTTTTGGAACGAATAACCACCTACAAGTAATAAAGTCCTTGAAAAATTTAAAGTGAATTAAATCATTTTTACAAAAAACGTCTTGTTAATATATTCCCCACGATACTGGGACGGACAAAAATTAAAAAAAAAAACTTGGAAAGTTATTAAAGAAACTGCATCTGGGATACCTAAAATACTAGAATTTAAAGGAGTTATAAGTGAAATTATAGTGTACCTTCTACGTCTGGATTAAGATAGTTCTTGACTTCTTCCAGGATGAACATGATCTCGTCTTCAGTCGGTTTGGGATTGTGCGTCACTTTGCATGGCAAATCTGTAGTGCCAGCAATGGTGTGTCGTTGCCATGGCAAGAAGAAGATTACTCTACCATCACTCGTGTCTGGATCCAGAAGACCCATCTGTTCAGGACTGTAATAACCTAAAAAATACAATATATTGAAAAATAATTGTGCAAAATATAGTAAGCAATACAAATAGAAATAAAAAATATAGTTTAAAAAATACTACGGGTAAAACGCCAGTTATTGGACACGAGACAGTTATTGGACATTATAGTGTTAGCTTACGATCTGGTTACGATACTTTGGTTAGGTAAGTTCATCAAATTTATCTTAATCCATAATATTATTTGATTTTACATTCAATATTCCAGATGGATACAAGAAATCATTCCAAAGGTTTCCCCAAAAAGGCTAACAATTTAAAAAGCAGCATGCAAACATTTTTAACCGAAAATCCGCGCCCCAATAACTAAAAAAAATGTATTTTAATCTGTATTTATCGTTTGATTTTTTTTAGGGATTTTTGAAGCGACATCTAAAAGAACAAGTGAAGGTGTGACGGCAGCTAGCGCGTGTGTATCTGAACGAGATATCAAAAACTTGTTTAAAAATATTAAAAACTACGTTAAAAGAAAAATATCTAGAAGTTCTAATTGATTCATCAAGAATTTTTAATGGAGATGAGTCAGCATTTCAAATATGTCCATCTACTGGAAAAGTATTTGCTATGAAAGGTTCAAAAAATATTTATAATGTTAAAAAAAGCTGTTCAAAAGAAAACGTCACTGTGATGTTAACGTTTTTAGCAGACGGTAAAATTTGCGTAACTATGGTTATTTATCCTTATCAACGTATTCCATAAAAAGTTGGTAAAGACATTCTATCAGTATATTGCGAATGTTTTTTACCCCCACCTAATTGAAAATAATATTAAGCTTCCAGTTATTCTTTTTGTAGATGGGCACAACAGTCACTTAAGTTACCAATTAAGTCTAATGTGTAATGAACTGCAAATTGAAGTAATTGCACTTCATCCTAACTCCACAAGGATTTTACAACCATGTGACGTTTCTATTTGCCGTCCACTAAAAGAAGCTTGGTGGCGATCAGTGAGAGTATGGGAAGAACAGCATCCAGGAGGGGTAGTGAATAAGGTTGTATTTGCTTCTATATTGAAGCAAGCCTTAAAAAACGCTGTAAAATTTAAACAATAGTAAATGGTTTCAAGGTTTGCAAATTGTTTCCATTGATTGTTTCCATGACAACACAAAATGTTTAGCTAAAGAAGTAGTAAAAAATTTAATTATTTCAAAAGAAACCCAAGATGGACTATAATACATTTGTAAATAGGTCCTGAAAAAGTTCATAGCTTAGAGAATTTAAAAGAAAATTCAAAGAATAATCTACCTAGCGACGATAATTTAAATTTGTTGTTCAAAATTTGGAATTTTTTTGAATATGATCCAAAACATTCGGATAACCCAATGGTTCTAAAAAATAGAGACACAAACAATATTATTATTCAAAATATAGCTATCACATCTTCCGTTAAAAATACTGAAATAAAAACATTAGTAAATATCTCTGAGAGTAGTAGTACCACTGATATCCATATTCAACAATATAAAACTAATGTTTATGACTTACTCTCACAAGTAAAATTATTGTTAAACACGAATTGTTGGATAATTTTTTAACTTCTCCTACTGTACCGGCAAGAAAAAATAAACGTATCACGGATCTACTTCCTTTTGTTTTTACTTCTGCACGATATCAAGAAATGTTACGAAAAAAAGAGGAGTTAAAATAAGAGCAGGAAAAACAAAAACAAGAAAGGAAACGGAAAAGAGAAGAAAAATTAACCAAAAATCAGTGTAGCAACAAAAAGAATTAAAAAAAGTAAAATATTCTATTTGTTCAAATGATATTCAATCGAATCAATTAAAATGCGATAACTGCAGTCTTTATTATCATGAATGTTGTATTTTTGTGAAGAATAGACAGTATATACCTAACGATGGTGATCTATTTATATGTCACAACTGCTTCAATCTGCAGAATAGTAATTCCGATGCTAATAACAGTAACAAAGACAGTGAAGATGAAGACATTGACAAACTTTTCACTCAATACAGAAAAGCACAGAAGCAATTATAAAATTTAATTGTGTCTACTGTATATAGGTACCCCATATCGCACAGAAATCTTTGGTTTTTCTTGTAATTTTCATTTGTTCCTAGTTTTTTATTGTGTTAAAAAGTTGTCCAATAACTAATTTTGAGTGTCCTGTAACTAAATAAAGTGTCTAAAATAAACAATTGATAAATCTAAATGGATTACGACTGACAGTCGCTAGCACCTATTTTAAACACAAAAACATACACAAGGTAACCTGAACATCTCCTGATGAAAAAGCAACGAGTTAGATTGATCACATTTTAACAGATTTCAAGATTGAAAAATAATATGAAGTTTATCAGTTGTAATCCATTATCGCTACTGATATTGTGTAGGCTATGCTTTCCTATCGTGGGCATACAAACTCGCTCTCTTCCTATTCTAGCATTCATGTCAACTAATACAATCTTAATGTCATGCCTGGGACATCTGTTATTGGCTTGCTCTAGGTCTTCGAAGAACTCATAAATAAGGCATTTGGTTCTTTGTTTTACAATAAATTCCACCTCATCCATGTGTTGACTTTTATTGCAGCTATAATATATGGAATGGGTTCACTTGTCAAGAGTGCCAGTTCCCGTCCACCGCATTTCATGCAGTGCTAAAACAGCTACTTTGCAAAAGACGTGAGTGCTCCAGTTCGGTATAGGGTTCGGGTATTCCATGTTCCTAATCTGAATTACATTTTGCTAACATATGCTTTTTTACAAGAAGAGGTTGTTGGCCTCTAGCCCAACCCCTCACTTGTAGGGCCAGGGACTCTACTGTTAGGGTAGTCATACCTCAGTGTGTTTTGGTTTGCGGTTGGTATTTTTATTTCCCACCTACTCATCGGTCCTAGTACCAGTTAGGGCGTTCCCCTTTCCACCACCTAGGGACGTGTCCGATTGGAGACAGATAACTCCACACGGACCAAGTATAATACACCAACTAGTAATTTTATTATCAAAAATTCACACATTATAAAGTTAAATAAGTAAAATTTACAAATTAGGCCGTTCACCATGTCTCGGTATGTTTAGAAATATCCTTAAATAAAATTCACGATTGAAAGTTTATACGCATTAATTTAAACATCAAAATTTTTAAAGTATCCTAATTTATTCATTACAGACCGTACCGGATCGGGTGAGAACTGCAAGCATAAACTACGGCCCAGACCTTACTATTAGAAAAACTAATTCATGGTTATCAGCCGTGCAAATTTAGATCCAGGGGCTCTAACGGCAATGAATGAAGAGATCAAAAGAGTGGACAGAGCGTTTAACAAAACCATGATAGTCTTGATGATAGCCAACGTCCGAAACAGACAAGGAACTGAAAAAAAAAATAAGAAGAATTTATCCATAGATGACTAATGTTTCTGAGCATACGAAATATTAACCTCGATATACGAGCGCTCTAATATAAGAGTGTTTTGAGATAAGAGCCGCGATGCGAGCGATATTTTGCTTTGAGAGGAGAGCAAGATTTGAGATATGAGGAATCGCTTTTTATTCAAATTCATACCTCTTATTTGACTATTTCTAATTTGCTTTGTAAATAAAAGGTAATTTTTACTGGTAATAGATCTTTACGGCCTCGCCATAAAGATCATTTTACGCGTCTGTACGTAACTACTACTTGGACCGACAGATTAAATGGTCATTGGAAGTTAAATCCGAAAAAAAATTCGGATTCCAATACTAACCATATTGAACTCTCAATCTCGGTGTAATTAACACTATGTAAATTTTTACTATAGACCTCAGTCTGTCTGCTTTGCTTGTTTCCCTCATTTTCGAAGTATTGTTGATATGTTGGGTTCGCGTTTTGTGCTTTTGTACATTACAATATTACATTAAGTTTTTAACCATCGGTTCGAAGAAGAAGATGATGTCTATTGAACTAAAACGTGAAATGTACTGTACTTAAACGGAAGAAGGTGATAAATGGTAGAATGCCAGATAAGGGCGTTACAATAATTTCTAAGCTCCGGACTTCTCTCCATGAAAAGATAGAGAAACTACTAATGGTGTGAGTGACAGAAAAGCAACTTCAAGGAGGAACCTTAACACAAAGCATCATATATGAGAAGGCACGAGCGATTTACAAAGATTTGCTAAAGCCCATCCCACACACTTACACAAATGATGAATTGGAATACTTGTTTAAAGCCAGTCGGGGCTGGTTTGACAACTTTAGAAAAAGGACCGGCATTCATTTCGTCGTCAGGTTTACATCAAAACGCTTTCCGAACCGATAGAAGCCAAAGATACATCCCCCAGAAAGTCTTCAACTCTGACGAGACAGGGCTTTTCTGGAAAAAGATGCCGAATAGAATTTACATAACGGCAGAGGAAAAGACGGTGCCAGGTCACAAACCTATGAAAGATAGATTAACTCTACTAATTTGCGCCAATGAGAGTGGCGACTGTAAAATCAAACCTCTTCTAGTGTACCATTCAGAAAATCACAGAGCCTTTAAGTCACATAAGATTTAAAAAAAACTGCCAGTTATGTGGAGGGCAAATCCAAAGACGTGGGTCACCAAGAAATTATTTGTGGAGTGGATAAACCTGGTGTTTGCCCCATTTGTTAAAAAATACAGCAAAACTTACTTCCTATGCAAATCCTTCTTGTCCTCGATAATGCCCCTTCTCACCCACCAAATCTCGAAGATGATTTACTCCAAAAGATTGGCGCTGCTTTGAGGTGACGGAGAAGACAAACATTACCCTTCGAGAGTTCTGGAAGGACCACTTTAACATAGTAATATGCCTAAGAATTATTAAGGAGGCCTGGCTAGGTGTTACAACAAGGACTTTAACCTCTGCATAAAAGAAGCTGTGGCCTGAAGCTATAGATGAAAGGGCCTGCGAAGGACTGGAACCCAAAGTGTCAGTGGTAGATAAGATTGTTTCCCTTAGAAAATCCATGGGTCTGGAGGTAGATTAAAGAGATGTAAACGAATTTGTCGAGGAACAGTCTCAGGAGCTGACAACTGAGGAGTTAGACGAACTACATTCTCAGCAGCATACAGCGGTTCAACGAAAAATTAGTTTTGAAGAGGAGCCAGAATTTAAAGGAGATCCTGGAAATGTGGGAGAAATTTGAAGAGTTCGTAGATAAAAATCACCCCGGACAGTTTTTTTAAACGATCTGCAGATGAAAATGAGCAAAGTGTGACAAAAAAAGCGAAGACCACTGACGAAAATTAAGCGCTTTCTTAAGCACTTATATATATATATATATATATATATATATATATATATATATATATATATATATATATATATATATATATATATATATATATATATATATATATATATATATATATATATATATATATATATATATATATATATATACTCGGTTCGCTATTCCTAGTCCCAACTGTTGACTGAATTTAGTAATTATTTTTTTTCGAAGTGAAGTTAGTTACTTTTTGACAGACTAAAAGTGGCTGGAAATTACTATACAACCAAGCACATGTACTCATAGCCAATATTGATAGTAAAAAAACTAAATAGTTAATAAAATAGAACTTTGCGAATTACCGACAATCAATATTATTAAATTATATATTATAAATAGTTATGTTAAATTATACAAACTAAAATATATTTTTTAAATATATACTACCCAAAATTTGATGGGTTTAGTATACACTTCCACTATTTAGAATAATTCTTCTTTTTTCAAAGAAAGAAGTCTGCAATAGTAGTATACTTGAGATATTAATATGAGAAGTAGGAATTGTTGTGTTGTAGGTTTCCGACAATGAATCTGTCAAAATATGCATAAGCTAACCGAATGTAGTATATGTATTTTTTGTTACTTATAAATAAATGTTTCTTCTTTTAAATACATTTTTCTTATTTAAAAACACTCAACAAAATCAACTAACGTATTTTTTATGGACTGGAACGGATTAATGACATTTCAGTTAATTTCAATTGGGAAAATTGCTTTGACATACCAGCAATTTGACATACGAGCAATATTATGGAACGAATTACACTCGTATGTCAAGGTACCACTGTAATTCAATGTCATTTACCATTATTTCGCCACCTGTCAAAAATATAATTCCAATAAAAAGAGAAACATCATACCTGGCAAAGTGATGTGCACACCACTGCTCGGGGCGCAAATTTCTTTAACTTTAGGATTATCCATTTTTCTAATAGAATCTGTGAATGGACCAGTAGCGTTTATAACACACTTTGTGGGAATGCTCCACGTTTTTCCAGTGACTTCGTCTTTAACGTTAACGCCACAAATGATATCTTTGCCATCTCTCTTTTCTTTGATTAAACTCGTAGCACTCACGTGGTTTGCGATTGTGGCGCCATGGACTGTTGCGGTAACTGCTACTGCTAAATTCATTCTAGCGTCGTCTTGTTGACCTGAAATAAATACTCAGTTTAGATATTTATATAATTTAACAAAATAGTAGTATTACCGTCATAATACACTAATCCACCAACCAATTTATCGCCCCTCAACATCGGAAATAGTTCTAGAGCATTTTTCTTGGAGAGAAAGTAGGAAGATTTAACTGTTTGTCGACCAGCGATAAGATCATACATTTTTATACCAGCCCAGTAGTAAGGAACTTGCCACCATCTGTGAATAAAGAAAGTATTAAATTACTAAAATTGGAAGTGTTAAAAAACAACTATAAACTTATAATTTTGTATTATTTTAAATTTAATTACCACCACCCTTGAAACTTGCTAGATGTCTAAACACCTTAGCTTGTCGAAGACCAGTCCTTCACTGGGCTTTAAAGCCTGTTTCTTCTTTGATGTTAGACTCCTAAATTGTTTAAAATGCCGCACCATCTTTCTCTTGGTCTGCCAATACTTCTTTGCCCATTTGGTAACTTATCTCGTACTATTCTATCGTCTGCCATTCTACTGATGTGTTCGTTCCACTCCTGTTTTCGTTTTGTCACCCATCCATTTATATCCTCTATATTTCATGCTCTTCTTATATTTTCGCTTCCCTCCCCATCCAACAGACTTCTCCCTGATATTCGTCGGAGTATTTTCATCTCTGTTGTTTCTGGCAGTCGTCTCGTTTTAGATGTGTCAAGTCTTGTCTCCGCCGTGTATGTTAATATAGCTCTAATTGCTACTTTATATATTCTTGTTTAAAACATCTCCATAACTAGTTATATCTATTTCCAGATATCTAAACCTTGCTTCCTGCTTTATTATTTTCCCATCAATTTCAATTTCACACCATAATGAGTTTTTAGATGTTGTCATACATTTGGTTTTTTTTGCTGATATTATCATATTGTATTTCTTAGCAGTTGTATTGAAGATATGTGTTAATCTTTTGGAGCTCGTCTTCTGTCTCGGCGATTAATGCGGCATCATCTGCATAAAATATTATTTGGATTTCTTTGATCCCCATTCTGTAGCAATGACCTTTACGTACTGCTTGTATTATCGTCCATTATTATATTCGTCCATTATTATATTAAAGAGAAGTGGGCTTAACGAGTCACCTTGTCTGTCACTGCTTTGTACTGGTATACACTGTGTTAGTTTTCCATTTATCTTTGCCTGTATTCGATTATGGAGGTAGATGTTTTCGATGGTTTGTATAATATTGATTGGTAAGTTTTTTTTACAATAGGTGTAAGACGTCTTCGACTTGGATGCGATCGAAACCCTTTGTAAGGGCTATAAAACATATCCTCGTTCTCAGTCCTAATCCCTTTTGGGATGTGGTGACACCATTAGGCCTCTACCGTTTTTTCACGATTTCCCTCTATCCTTTTCGGTCCTGGGCCAGTTGTTCGGCTTCATGTAACCCTTGGTTAATCAATATTTTTGTTTTATTTACCCAACGGCTTGGAGATCTTCCCCTGGTCTCCTTCCTTTAACTCTACCCTCGACTATCAGTTTTTCCATCGTACCTGTTCTTCTAGCAATGTGTCCAAAATACTGCAAATATCTCTGTTGTATTTGTTTAAGCAATATATCCTTTACTTTAAGTTGTTCTAATATCGATACGTTAGTACGATGATCAATCCAGGATATTCTCAACATGCGGCAGTATACCCACATTTCAAAAGCGTCCAGTTTATTTTTATCCGCTTTCTTCAAGGTCCACGTTTTGGATGCATATGTGGCTATGGGAAAAATGAGCGCCCTTAACTTATATATGCTGTAAAATTCCACGAGGAAACTAAGTTCCTGTAGCTGGCTGTATACCATATATCACAAAAAATTTTTGTTTAAAATCCTATATAAAAGGTATATAAAAATGCCCCAAACGGGCTATCACAAACACATTGCAAAACGTTTTCGGATTAAACAATCCATCATCAGTGCAAACCTGAAACTATATAACCACTTTAATTAAAAAGAACGTTAAATGAAAATGTTGACAAAGGTTAGAGCAAAATGTGGTTAATACTTACGGTTGTACATGCTAGTAGCCACCAAAATATATGGGTAAAAACCCTTTAAATGTTTTGAATTTGAAGTTGTTTTACATTATTAGTATTTATAATTTGTAATAGTTTAGTTACCGTTGGATAGGTAACATGGCGGCGTATGACTCTACATGAGTAAAATGGCCCTGAGACGAAGTGTCTACGAGGACCTGTTGATAACAACTGATCAAAATGACATTGTTGACATGTTAGGACGGATGTTGTGTCAGAGCAGTCAGTGTAACTTACGGTAGTTGTCTAAAATTGACAGATGCTAGCCTTATTTAAAATTGAAAAAGTCAAAATTATAATAATGTAACAGTATCAACCATCAATATTGTAATCTTTATTGTAAATTAATCAAAAAGCTATATTTGAAACATTGAAAATTGTTTTTTTTAGAAATTAATGTAGGTCAACTGGAATTTATGAAATTTTGTATGATTGATAGGCAACCAACTATACATGTGTAAGGATCTATTTATTTTAAGCTAGAGATTTTGTCAAAAGGCCCTGTATGTTGTGAGACATTTGGTACCTAGAAAATGGTAAAAAGGCTCATGTGGGAAGATGGGTCCTAAACTCAATAATAAATCTTTTAGGACCCATCTTCCCACATGTGCCTTTTTACCATTTTCTAGGTACCAAATGTCTCACAACATACAGGGCCTTTTGACAAAATCTCTAGCTTAAAATAAATAGATCCTTACACATGTATAGTTGGTTGCCTATCAATCATACAAAATTTCATAAATTCCAGTTGACCTACATTAATTTCTAAAAAAACCAATTTTCAATGTTTCAAATATAGCTTTTTGATTAATTTACAATACAGATTACAATATTGATGGTTGATACAGTTACATTATTATAATTTTGACTTTTTCAATTTTAAATAAGGCTAGCATCTGTCAATTTTAGACAACTACCGTAAGTTACACTGACTGCTCTGACACAACATCCGTCCTAACATGTCAACAATGTCATTTTGATCAGTTGTTATCAACAGGTCCTCGTAGACACTTCGTCTCAGGACCATTTTACTCATGTAGAGTCATACGCCGCCATGTTACCTATCCAACGGTAACTTAACCATCACAAATTATAAATACTAATATTGTAAAACAACTTCAAATTCAAAACATTTAAAGGGTTTTTACCCATATATTTTGGTGGCTACTAGCATGTACAACCGCAAGTATTAACCACATTTTGCTCTAACCTTTGTCAACATTTTCATTTAACGTTCTTTTTAATTAAAGTGGTTATATACTTTCAGGTTTGCACTGATGATGGATTGTTTAATCCGAAAACGTTTTGCAATGTGTTTGTGATAGCCCGTTTGGGGCATTTTTATATACCTTTTATAAAGGATTTTAAACAATTTTTTTTTATATATATGCTGGTTAATTGTACTCAATGGCCTTTTATGTGATTTGTCTTAGTACAAATACGGCGTCTACGCAGGATCTTCCCGATCCGAATCCTTGTTGTTTATCTGATAAAGTTATTAGTTTATTGATTTTCTTAGTTGGGACTTTTGTGGTAAGCTTGAGTGCGGTGTTCAGTACATTTATACCTCTATTATTGTTGGGGTCTTCTTTATCTCCTTTCTTGAACATTGGTATCATTATGCAGTTTCTCCATGTGTCTGGTATCTTTCAGTGCAATATTAGTTTTTGTATAAGTTTTGTCATCTCTAGGGTTATACTTTCTCCTTCGTGTTTTAGAAGCTCGTTGTTTATGCCATCTGGTCTTGGTGACTTTCTATTTTTAAGTGAATTTATGGCTATTTCTAATTCCTGAAAACTGATTTCTATTTCGTGTCTTAATTTAGGTACGTTACTGTATTGATTATTATTTTCCTTTGGTTCTGCAATTGTGGTTTTGCTCGGCCCGTCGTTCACCAGACGCAATTGGCTGAAGAGATTGTGAGAGAGTCTTCCAAACCTTCTCGAGCGACCCTTCAGTTATATTTGCGTTTGGGTGAACGTCGTGTTTAATCCTTACCACAAGAAATCATCCTAGTACAATCCTCCTCGTTGGTAGTGTCGGGAATCCATATTCGTTAGATCAGAAATATGAGCACTTTTTAGAACGCGTAATCTGATTTGGCGAATAGTGATTGCTGATTGTACAGAGTCTGTCCGACTGGTAGTGTCCGCCATATTCGAGCTTTGGTCGATCACCTTGGGATCCTTGAGTCCGCGCACCTGTGTAGTTACTAACCGGTCGGATTTTTCGAACTCCCTTAAGGCTACACACCCTTCCAGTTTGCTGGAAGCCTTAGTTTTTAGAGTAGCGTAGGTCCCAAATATCTAAGAGGCGGGTAAGCTTTATTTCCTACTCGTCCAGCTACTCTACTAACCATCGTGCGAGATGGTCGCTTTAAACAGTTCCGTCAGGTATCTGTCCCATTCTTTTACTGGTATGGTATTGTATTTCTTCAATTCTGACATTTCTCTTTCATTTCTTTTCTCAACCATGGTGTATTGTTGTTGTTTCTTTTGTTCAGTATGACATTGCGTTTTGTTAGAGCTTCTGTTGCTGTTTCTTCAATGTTGTTTTTAATTTTCTCCCAGCTCGCGTTTATATCATCGATATCGTCTATTTGTTTCAGCTGTATTTTCTGTGCTAACCTCCTTTGGTACATTTCTCCTGTAGAGTCGTTCCACAGTGACTCTACATTAAATTTTTCTTCAGTGATTTCCTGCAGAAAATTTTGTTTTATTTTCATTCTTATCTTTGCTAGTACTAGTTTATGTTCACTCCTCCTACTCTCTGGAGTAGAAAGTGATAGCTTCTGCTTCCTCGCAAACATCTCATCCGCTTCCTTTAAAAAATCACTTCCGTTTCCTCACTCGAACAGTTTCATCACATTAAACAAATAAGAAAAACGTTTTCTTCTTCTTCCCCTTTATAAGCAAATCTGCTCATTGATACTTCTATGGAAGGTTGTCACTACATCTTTTGCGCGGTCGTCCGATACTTCGTCTGCCGATTGGTAACTTATCTCTGACATAGATCTCTTCAATTCTGCTTATGTGGTTATTCCATTATTTTTTCTATTTAGTCTCCATTCGTTTATAGGCTGTATATTACATTTTCTTTTCACAAGGAAAACAATTCCTGTAGCTGGCTGTATACTACGTATCACAAAAAAGAGGTTAGTCTTCGTAAGTGGGTATATTTATTTAAAAAACTCTTAAAAGGGCTACATAAAAAAAAAACAAACGTTTTCGGACTAAACAGTCCATCATCATCACCATTTTAAACCTGATGATGGACTGTTTAGTCCGAAAACGTTTGTTTTTTTGATGTAGCCCTTTTAAGGGTTTTTTAAATAAATATACCCACTTACCAAGACTAACCTCTTTTTTACATTTTCTTTTAATGTCTTCACTTCTTTGTGTTGTGGTTGTGAAGACCTTGTCTTGTTTCTGAGGCATATGTCATTATTGGTCTTACACTGGCTTTATAAATTCTTCACTTCGACAAGTCAATATTTGTTTTTATTTGTATAAATAAAATAAATTATTTAAACTTACCTATAAACAGGTAACATAATAGGCAAAGGATGGGCAAGATGAGGAGCTTGATGTAACATGACGGCTCTTTCGTGTAAGGCTTCTTGTACCATTCTATACTGTTCGTAGTCCAACTGCATGATAGCTTTTTGAAGGTATCGTACTCCTCCGTGGATAAGTTTTGTACTTCGACTGGAGGTACCGCTGGCAAAGTCATCTGCTTCAATTAAAGCAGTTTTGAGACCTTAAAAATAAAAGTTGTATTTAAGTCGAGAATTAGATCTTAACCCTTTAACAGACATAACTATTTTTTTGTAAAAATACACTTTTGAATAGTAAAAATAATTCATTATGCATTATTAACAAGACAAAAAATGTTTAAAAAAATTTTCTTTGTCAGGAGGGCTGAAAAGGGTGGTAGATATAGCTCTCTCTCTTCAATCCTGACCCCCCAGGGGGAGTGTAGTGGTCGACGTGATGTCGTGTATTGTCCGTCTCCAGAGATCTCTGCCTCTGGTCATTTCTTTTAATTCATGCATAGGTCTTTGGCATATTCCTGTAATTTGATCTATCCATCTTGTTGGGGATCTTCCTCGTGATCTTCGGCCTTCTACCTTTCCTTGTATTATGAGTCGTTTCATGTTTTCTGTGTTTGCTCGCATATGCCCAAAATCTTTTAATTGTTGGAGATGGACTTTACTAGAGAGTCGTTGACTAACTTTTAGCTCTCTTAAAATTGAATTATTTGTTCTACGGTCGGTCCAAGGAATTCGTAACATTCGTCTCCAACAGAACATTTCAGTGGCGTCTATCTTTCTTCTCTCCGATTGTCTCAGAGTCCAAGATTCACATCCGTAGGTCAGTATTGGGAATATTAAGCAGTTGATCAACCTCATCTTTATCGATCTTGAAATTTGACAGTCCTTCCATATTTTGGTCATTTTTGCTGTGGCAACTTTTGCTAGATCACATCTACGTTTAATCTCTTCTTGTAATGACCCTGTGTTTGTGATTAATGATCCCAGATATAAGTATGAGCTCACAACCTCGAACCGGTCAATTGTGGTTATGTGTGGATGATTGTTGTGTAGATCCACTATCATGATCTTTATCTTTGATATATTTAATTGCAGACCAAATATTTGACTTTCGTTTTCGATCAGTCGTATAAGTTCCATCAGCTCTGCTTGACTATTTGCAAGAAGGGCTGTGTCATCTGCGAAACGTAGGTTGTTTAGTTTATGACCATTTATTGAGATGCCCTTTTCCCATCCTTCAAGTGCTCTTCGCATAATATACTCCCCATATATGTTGAATAATTGTGGAGATAGTATACATCCTTGTCTGACACCCCGTTCTGGATGAAACTCGTTCGAAAGTGTGTCAAGTACTTTAACTGATCCAGTAGTGTGTTCATATAGTTCAGTTATAAGCGTAATTAGATATTGTGGTACGCCTACTTCTTTTAGTATTCGCCATAAGTGTCTCCACTTGACCCTGTCGAACGCTTTACGGTAATCTATAAAACAGATGTATAGTGGGATGTTGAATTCCCTAGATTTCTCGATTATCTGTCTTATATTCAGCAGGTGTTCTCGAGTGCCTCTACCTTTGGTAAATCCAGTTTGCTCTTGTGGTATTTCTCTTTGAAGGAATGTTTTCAGTCTCTCATTGATTATATGTAGCATTATCTTGCTGGCATGGGATATAAGAGAGATCGTTCTATAATGTCGCATTTATGGAAGCTGCCTTTTTTATATATGGTCGTTATTGTAGATTTTGTCCAGTCTTCAGACCATTGTTTGGAATGCCATATTTGGTTACAGAGTAGATGAAGTAACTTTACGCCGGTTTCTTCTGTGGCTTTAAGCATTTCTGGCTCTGAAGTCTCTTGTCGGGTAGCGTATTTTTCTAAATAGATCTCTCGGCTGATTATTCTGACCATGTCTCTTAATTTCTTTGCATATACTTTGATAGTACTGTTTTTTGTCGGCCTTACATCTTCGTTTTATTTCTTTATCAGATATAGCTACGAGTGTGCATTTTGACAAACAACTAATACTGGGCAATGGTATATATATATATATATATATATATATATATATATATATATATATATATATATATATATATATAGCAACTAGTAAAAACAATTACAAAAATTTATAAAAAAAATACTTTGAAAATATAAAAAAGACTAAATACAGGAATATCTTAAATTTATTATCTAAGAACTTTCTATCTACTATGGTAGAGTGCAAAGCAGTCTTTGCGTAGAGCAACGTTACAAACTTGACAAATCAAATTGCTGCACGTTTGTTTCTTTTCAGATCAAGTACGAAGGGCACAGCGCCTATAAGTTCCTTTGGTGGGTAAGTGTGAACCAGCATTTACAGTTCTTAACACTTGTTTTTTTTTCAGTCTCCATATACAAAATATAGCTGTTTATGATTGCTGCGTCTAAAAGTTACTAAAATATTTTTACCCACCAACGTCTTGATTTCCATGCGATGGAATAGTTAGCATGATATTGATCGAATAGATCTATTCCAACCATGTATTTATTATAATCGGCTATTACCTGAGGACATGGTACTTGATTTCTATTTCTAGTTTTGTTTGTTCTCAAAACCTGAGTTTTTCTTAAAAATTATGTAGATTGATGATAACACTAACACATTTTACGTCTCTATCTTTCCACTTATACAAAGATCTTTCCTCAGAACTAACCGAATTTGACTGAATTTTGGAAAGCTCTTCATCAGAACATAATATTTGTTTTGAAAAATATTTCCTTGTTTGCCTTACAGTGCCACAAGCAAAAGTTTTCTTTTCCAGTAATTCTGCATCAGTGGTATTGTTGTGAAAAGTAATCAAAGTATACGCAATATCCACGATTTTAAGTTCTAAACAACAAGTTCTCCTAACATATCGGACGTTGATTCAGTGGCTTTTCCTTGATATATTCGAAAATTTAGAAGGTATCCCGTTTTACCCCGAAAAACTGATACAAATGCTTTCCATACTTTTCACAGAATGCCTTGAACGAGGAACAACACCATCACAATGGCAAAATGCAGTGATCATTCTAATGTTTAAGAAGGGAGATTTAACAAATCTCGTAAACTATAGACCAATCAGCCTCATCTCACACATATACAAGCTTTTTACAAAAGTCATAACAAACAGACTTTCGAACAAAATGGACTTCTACCAATTAGGCTTCGGCACAAACGACCATCTACAAGTTATTAAAAGTCTCATCGAAAAATGTATAGAGTACAATAAACCCCTCGTCCTAATATTTGTGGATTATGAGAAAGCATTCGACACAGTAAACCACCAGAAAATGCTAGAAGCTTTAAAAGAGTGCCGAATAGATCACCGCTACACCAGTGTCATCAAAAATATCTACGATAATGCCACGGCATGCGTCAGACTACATGAAGATACACACAAGTTCAACATTCATCGTGGAGTTCGCCAGAGCGACACCATTTCACCAAAACTGTTTACAACATTATTGGAATACATGTGTAAGCGTGCAAACCTAGACGAAAAGTGCATAAACATAAATGGAGAGCAGCTTAGTCACCTCAGGTTCGCGGACGATATAGTCCTGATAACAGACCGCATAGATCATGCCATCGAAATGTGCGAAAGACTCTACTATGCCTCTACACAAGTGGGTTTAAAGATCAATAACTCAAAAACACAAGTGATGACAAACCTTGTTCTGAGTGAGAACATCAACATAGCTGGAACAAGTATAGAACAAACATCAGCATACAAATATCTGGGACACGAAATTCGCTTAAGTAGAGATAACCAGACCAATGAACTAATACGTAGAATAGGGTTGACATGGGCAGCTTATGGAAAGCTAAGAGATGTTTTCCAATCAGCTCTTCCCATCTGCTTGAAAAAAAAAAAGTCTTCGATCAATGTGTGCTGCCGGTTCTAACCTATGGTGCGGAGACGCTAACACTTACTAAGACGTCCGCAAACAAAATTCGAACAACACAGAGGGCAATGGAACGGTCCATGTTGGGATTAACCCTGAGAGACCGAATACCCAACACAGAATTGCGCCGTAGATCGGGAGTAACCGACGCAATCAAAAGAATATCAACCTTAAAATGGAACTGGACAGGGCACGTCGCGAGAACGAAGGACGGCAGATGGACAAAACGCATTCTTGAGTGGAGACCCAAACAAGATGCCTTTAGGAATAGAGGACGACCACCAACAAGATGGACGGATGACCTGAAACGGACACATCAAAATTGGATGCAGGCGGCTCAGGACAGAAATTTGTGGGGTGTACTACGGGAGGCCTATGTTCAGCAGTGGACGAGTATGGGCTGAATGATGATGATCCCGTTTTAGCACATGCCAATGCCCAAATTTTAAAGCCTTTTTTATTGGTCTCATTGGCATGTACTGTTTTAGTGATGTATGCCCTTTGAAAGCACACATACTTTCGTCAATAGATAGGTGTCTATATGGCGTAAGAGCATTTTGAAAGATCTCTGAAAGATGGTTTAAGAGTGGTCTAAGTTTGTACAGCCTATCAAACTCATTAGACTTGGCGTACATGCCTTCGCTGGAGATGTCTAGAACATCTGTTTGTGTATAAAATCTGCTGAGCCGTCACTTTTTGAGGAAACAGTTTTTATGTGATTAGAAAAGTGTTTATGTTTTAAAGCGATATATGATAGTTTCTTAATGGCATATTGACTATTTAGTTAATATTATTGAGTTTTTTTTGTATTGGTTTGCTTAAGTACGTGTATTTCACTTAAACCCTGAACCTGCAGAAAAACGTTACAATATATTAGAAAACTAACAAAGTTAACAATAGTTTATTTTCAGTGTTTGTAGCTACTGTTTGGGACCAATGAATAAGTGTTCACTGAGCTATGCCATCCCTCGCCATATATATCTATTGGCCGAATTGATCAAACTAGCAACTTCAAATTTAAAACTGCTTATCCATTTGGATTTTGAATTGTTGCATTTGATATGCTTTTGATTGGAGCTGGGCTTGAATCACGAACCTCGTAATCTACACACTTCGAATTGTGCGAATATACTTTTTATTTGGTACTATTTATTTTAGCGAATATATGTGTTATTTTTTTGATATCAATTATTATTTTATTATCCACATTGTCTATTTATATTTTTATATAACATTACAAGAATCGAAAGATGCCATTCATTTTATGTCCTTTTTATTATATTTAATAAAATCTAAACTGATAAATTCATTGTTATAATCTTTTTATTGCACCTATATACTTAGATAACAGTTAGAATCCTTAGTTTTGCTGTGGATACAATAGTAATTGTTATTAAAATTTAACTTAATAATTAGAAAATTACCTCTTGTAGCAGCATCTAGGGCACATCCTGCTCCAGTGGCTCCACCACCAATAATAACGATATCAAATTTTTCGGACTGAAGTGATTTTATTTGATCAGCTCTCGTCGGCAGCACACGTTTTGGTTTCAAACTGGCTTCTTTAGCGCTGACAGCTGTAGGCCACTATAAAAAGTATTCGGATGTATTAACAATTAAATGGTTATCAAAAAATAAAAACAACTTTTTTTAAACTGAGTAAAATGTCGAACAAATTGATTAATCTATATTAATTTGAACAAGAAAAATAAAAATAAACTATAAAAACTTATAAACAACTAGAGCCATGTGAAGAACTATATGCTAAGGCCTTCATTTCTAATAAATATTGTGGCAATAAGCACACAAAACAAAAATTGAACAAATCAGACAATAGAGATTTCTTTGCGGGTAGGTAAGAACGCATAAGGAGGACTCAAACTATTCTGGCCTAGGATGAGTTATTCTCAGTAGATTTTAGGACTACGAATGGCGCCATGCAAGATATCTTGTGTTGTAAATAATTTATCAATTAATATTTAACTGGGAATAAGCCACAATTAAAGATAAAAATACGTTTATTGACGTTTCAATTTCCACTTCGGAAATCGTTCTCAAAATACAAGCAGTAAATTAAACAAATTTTGTTTTTTGTTACATAGTGAAAAATTCTTCTAATAATTTAATTTTATCTGACTCTTTTATATTGACAGTTCAGACATTCATTATGCATTTTAAAGTAGATGACTTTAAAATGATATTGTCAATATTGTTGAGTTGCGCTCCTGGGACGACTTTACTTATAAGATAGTTCATTTGATTACATGAAATCAACTTTAACTTGAGAATATTCGTCAGAAAAAAATCATAGCATGTAATTCGTCTTTAAAAAGACAAACACATGACATGATGACAGTAAAATTCTCCTGTTAGTGATTCCATAGTAAATTATGAGGGAAAAACCAGGAAAAAAACCTCATAATACTATCCCGACATGGTAAGTATTTGTTCGTGCATTTAGTTTACCTTCAATAAACACCAAAATTCTGATTTTATATGTTTCGTTATTTAAAAAACATACATGATGTATCCTCTATATGTTACTGACTTACTAATACTGGTATTTTCTTTTTAATAACTTCCTCTTTCAATATTGGTAACCAGATCCTACTACATTCTATCGAGGAATTTGCGACACAATTGGCCTCATTTAGCATAATGAAAGCCGCTTCTTTGATTTTTTTTTACCATCCGTTTCTTTTAGGACTACATTTGAATTATTCCATTGACCCCTATGTTCATTATCCCATGCGTGTTTACATATTTGAGATCTATCAAATTCTCTATTTTTAATATAAGATTGATGTTCACTTATTCTAACATTTGAACTAAAAACTTTGAAGCTCTTTAACTCAAAAACAATTGATTTTTAAGTCTTATGGCACTGAGAACTTTTGATCAGCATGACCGAAGCGAAGTCTCTGGCAAAGTTTCAGCCAATTTAACTGAATCCACTTTTACATTATACGTCACCTCAAAAAAATAGATAACTCGAAAATTTTTATTTTTGAAGTAAGTTTACCAATAGATGTAAATATAGAATCATCTTTATGTTATGCTACAACCAGACAATTCACAAAGTACCCTTTGAGTCAATATTTAACTTTACAAAAAAAACACCATTTGTTTAATACTTCTTCTTCTCTTTTTTGTCAACCATTTTCCATCCACTCCTGAATGTAGGTCTCTCCCAATTGCTTCAATCTTTCTATATCTTGCGCCAATCTAATCCACTGTTTGCCTGCCACTGCTCTTATGTCATCTACCCATCTTTTTTGAGGTCTTCCCATGCTTCTTGTTGTCGTTCTTGGTCTCCATTCTAGAATTCTCCGTGTCCACCTGTTTTCATTATATCGGGCTACGTGACCTGCCCAGCGCCATTTCATTTTTGTAATTTCTTCCACAATATCCCTAATCTTCGTTCTACGTCTTATCTCGGTGTTTCTAATCTTGTCTCTTAGTGATATTAGAAGCATGATTTGTTCCATTGCTCTTTGCGTTGTTTCTAATTTTTTGGCAGATTTTTTGGTAAGTGCTACTGTCTCCAAGCCGTAGGTACAAACTGGTAGTATGCATGTGTTATATACCTTTTTCTTTAAGTTTATAGGAATGGATATCTGGTCCCGTAACATTCTATAAAGTTCTAAGTTGTATCGTCTTCTCCACATTCTATGTGGTCATTCACTGCTCCAGATTCGCTTTATTAATTTGCTTTCGAAACATCCTAATATGTAACAATAAAACACTGAAAACTTTGTTTTAAAACTTCCACAAATTTTATTTTGAACTGTTGTCACTGCAGCTGTTTCGGTTGATTGCCTTTCTCAAGTGATCTATTTTTGGCATGCTTTTGCACTTTGTGGTCTCTGATGAAATGGGTTGAGGAGGGGAGGGCTGTTTGTCTTAAGTTGGTCATTTAGAGTTATATCTGTGTTTTTTGGTTTGTTGATTTCCATAGATTCTAACAAAGATAGCTTAAGGCCTTTATTTTGAATGTGAAGAATTTTAAATTCGTCATTAAAAGAATAATTATGATCTGGGCCCTGATTCTATTTCATTTCGATGTCGAAATTTAAAAGCGACTACGCCATGACAGTCGCAATCGCTAGCGATTCTCATTCATTTCGATTTTAGTTAAAAGTGGGGACATTTACTTTCTCATTTTGACACTGCTCAGAATTTGGGTTGGCCGTCTTGTTTATTGGCTGCACGCTTGTTAAATGTTTGTTTTGTTTACATTTTACGATTTTTGTTTCTTGTTTGAGTTTTTGTCTTGTTTACGATGTTAAATTTTTAGTGGCCATTCTCAATGATTATATTTTGAATTGAAAGAAAATGGATGGAGGCTGTTGGTGATGGTGGCACTAAATTGTCTGTGGACCAAAAAGAAATTATGACGAAAAGAATTAAAAAAGAATTAAAATCAATTATTACAACCAAATTATTTATTATTTCTATCTTCCATTACAGCTTGTTGAATATATTCAAAAATTGTGGTTTCCATTTTAGTTTTAATATTGGGACATTTTATTTCTTTAATTTTTACACCACAGTATATTTAAAAAAATAATCAGTAGCATCTGGCTTGGGGCCCCTAGGTACCGCAGTTCTATTTTTATAGGTGTTAAAATTTCGACCAATTATGTGCCGAATCACATACAATTTCTGATAAAACGCAGCCATATTAATACTTTTTGCCTCAGTTTTCGTTGTAACAATCAAACAACACCGCCTAAACTGAACCTAACCTCGCTTCTCCCAGTCCCGCTAGTCGTGTCAGATTAATTTCGACTCGAAATTAAATTTCAACCACTTTCTTGAAGTTGAAATTAATTTCGATAAATCGAAATTTAGTGACGTCCTTTGGTTAGTTCAGCTGAAATCCACTAGGCTCGCAAAGTCGCATTTCAACGTCGCCATATTGATTTCAACATGTTTTCAGTCGAAATCTCAATTAGAATCAGGGCCCTGGAAGGTAAAGTGCGTATGTAGAATCTGTTTTTCTATTATTGAAAGTCATTTTATGTTCTGCTATTCGTTTGTTAAAGTTTCTATTAGTTTGATCGATGTAAGTTTTTGGGCAGTCGCCACATTGAAGTTTGTACACACCACTATTTAAGTGTTTTTTATTTTGGCTCTTGTTGTTTTTAATATATTTGCCTAGGTTGTTATTTGTTCGGAAAGCTGGTGTTATTCCTTTCTTTTTTATGTGTTTTGCTATTTTTGTTGATATTTTGCCTGTATATGTAATCCAGCAGAAGGTACTGGGTTTTTTCTCTAGTGGTGGAAATACTAATTTCAGGACTTTCTTGTGTAGTTTCTGATTTAACATTTTATTAATTATTTGTTGGTTGTATCCGTTGTTTACTGCTATTTGCTTAATGATATTTAATTCTGTCTTAAAAGTTGTATTTTGACATCGGAATTTCTGTTAATCTATGTAACATACTATGATAGACTGCCAGTTTATGTTGTGTTGGATGGGATGATGAATTGTGTATAGTCGGGTCAGTATGGGTAGGTTTATGAAATATGGAGAAGTCATGTTTGTTTTTAAGTCTGATAATTTTTAAGTCTATAAAATTTATGGATTGATTTTGTTCTGTTTCTATTGTAAATTCAATGTGACTATGAAGTGAATTAATATACGATAAAAATTGGTCGAGTTAGTTCCTGTGAAACATACTAGTACGTCGTCTACGTATCTCCACCAATATCAAAACTGTTAAAATACGGGATGTTTTGAAATCTTTGTCTCTAGATGGTCCATAAAAATATCTGATAGCAATGGGCTTAGAAGATTGCACATTAAAAGTCCTGCACTGTTATTTGTATATATATTTGATTATTAAATTCAAAGTAGTCCTGGTTTATGCAAACTTCAAGAAGATGTAAAATTTCAGATGTAATTATTGGATTTGTACTAGTTTGGTCTAAAAGGGTTTTTTACTAGAATAAGAGTTTCTGTAGGAGGGATTCTAGGAAAAACATTCTATGGTGGTCAACAGATTGAGGGGCACAGATATGATTCTGAATGACCGGCTTGTGACAGGCGGTTCTCCCCTCCTCAACCTATTTCATTGGAGACTGTAAAGTGTGGACGCATGCCAGGAGTGGATCACTTGAGAGGGGCAATCAGCCGAGGCAGCTGTAGTGATGGTAGTTTGAAATAATTTTTGTGGAGGTTTTCAGTGTTTTATTGTTACATAAAATGAATTATCATCAAGTAACGGTCGAATCCATCAATTAAGAGTTCAGGTCGCTGGGCCATAAGGTCAGGAGTGGCCGTATTATTGTTTTGTAAAGTTTTACTGTTGGCCGTGCAAATTTTGCGGTTTATTTCTGCGGTAGTATTATTTTTAGTGTTAAGAAACGCTCTCAGGTATACACATTTGTTCACTGCTTCAATGACGTCGTTTTCTATAACAAGTGGTCGTAGAGGTTGTGGTTGCGTACTTATTTTCATATACTTCGTTTAGTTGGAGTTTATTATTAAACTCTTTTTTGTAGCCGATTCTTTTAATTCTACGTATGCCTCTCGTGCAGCGTTTTCCTTTCTACCAATAATAATATATTAATCCCCAAGG